CTAAAAGTTACTTATGGGGAATGTGATATTTCTTAAGGAACAACTAAAATATGAAAAAAGCATGCCATGTTGAGTACTTTATTCATTTTCTTGTTGATGAGTTATTACATATTGAGCTTTGCTATGCTTTCTGGGTTTCTATTAGGGTTGAATTTGATGACTGGGCTATTCAATTCTCCATTTAGTTGACTGCTTATGGATTGTAGACAACAACATTGCAGCTTAGTCTGGTTTAAAATCTATTTTTTGTTCAATTTGATATCTTTCAATTTGATTACCTCTGATACTTTGGATAGATGTGCTTGGCTTCGTGTTAGGGATACTCTGCGTACTCTTCATAAATTGGAAATCCAAATTTGGCTATTGAAGGGCAGCCCCTCATTTGAAATTTTGGACCTTCAAATTTGGCTCTTTAAATTTTGACTCCTTATATGAAATTTCCATATATAAACACACCAATTTATAGCCCCTCATTCATTCACCTTTGTGTGTAGCGGGACAGTACCCTGTCCATGTACTTTTTCTTTCGTTTCAATGGAAGTGTTTCTTTTTTTATGTCAACTAGCATCACTCTCGTGCATTGCACGGGTCATACTTATATTACTAAATTAAGATCATATTTGAAGGATACAATTTTTTATCTAATACTCCTTTCGTCCCTGAAACATCTTCTCCTTTCATTTTTTCTTTGTCCCTCAAACTCTTTCCTTTTTCTCTTAAAAAACGACTTTTACCCCTTACTTTTTCATACCCTACCTATCACATCATACGTTTTTGCTAATAATCTATCTATCACATCTTACTTTTATCAATTACATCAAGGATATTTTTGGAAAGTTAACACCAAAATATTCCTTCCTTAGTTTTCCAAAAAGTCAATAAGGGAACTTCTTTCGGGACGGAGGGAGTAGAATATAAAGATTTAATTATTTTAAGGTACAAAAGTTAATTGTTTTATAAATAACGAAAGACTTCTTTATAAATTACATTACTCGTATAATTTTTATATATCAAACTTTTAAAACATTTATTTATTTAAAGACTTCTTCATGATTTTCTACTCTGAAAGCATGAATCTTATTTAAGAACTCAAGACAGTGTAAGCCATTCAAAAAATTTGAAAGAGGCTAATTACGAAAAGTGATTGAGAATGACTGTATTTAAAGTATGAAAAAATTAAAGTATTTATCTATTTCCATGCATCTAATTTTTTTCGAGTGAGTTATTAATTAGTGGTTGATTGTTGAACATATAAAGGTATATATTATTCAATACGTTTCCATGTATTAAAGGCACACCTCTTAAAACGATGTCTTTCCTAAAACATTTGAGTTTAGATCTCTAAATGGAAACATTATTAAATTGAAAGCTTATTTGGTTAGAATTATTACACGATAATAATAACTAAGTACGATAATATTATTACACGCTATATTATTATTATTATTATTATTATTATTATTATTATTATTATTATTATTATTATTATTATTATTATTATTATTATTATTCTTTCACGATAATAAATCAATAATGATTAAATACATTAATATTATTGCACGGTATATTAGTATTATTATTTTTCTATACGGTAATACATTATTTGTTCTTGCTACAAAGTAATTTATGATTTAATTATTATTTCTATATTCAACACTTAACATATGTGCCAACATTTCTATGTATTACTTTGACATTTTTTTATATTTATTTTCTTAACATAATCACACCGTAATAAAATAATAATGATTAAATATGGTAATATTAAGTTTGGCCATGTTCTCTGAATGGAAACATTTTTAAATTGAAAGCTTCTTAGATTAGAATAATTAGATGATAATAATGACAAAGTACGGTAATTTTATTACACAGTATATTATTATCATTCTTCTTACAATCTTACATGGTAATAAATTAATAATGATAAAATACGACAATATTATTACACGATATATTCATATTATTCTTGTTACACGATAATACATCATCTATTCTTATTACACGGTGATTTATGATTTAATTATCATTTATTTATTCAATACTTACTATATATACCACCATTTCTATGTATTACTTTGACATTTCTTTTAAATTCAATTTTTCCCCCAAAAGGAAACAAATGGTTTATATGATTAAAATGGTTTGTTTCTAAATTGGAAAAGGAAACAAATGGTTTGTATGATTAAAATGTTTTGTTTCTTAATTGGAAATTATATAAATTACGAAACTGTAAATTTAATGCATTGATTAAAAAAATTTACACCTTAACATGATTATTACCTTTTATGGACAAATATATATTATTTTTGATTGAACGGTAAATAATTTTTTATTATATCAATTCCAATTTTATAAAAAAGTTCGGTATTTGAAAGGAAGTTTATATAAATAATACGGAGTATTTTTTATATTTTGTTTCCTTTTTAGAAATATATTAGGCATGCGAAAATTCCTTTAATTCATTATTCTAAATAAGAATAGAGTAATTAAGTAATTATGCATGTGAAATTATAATAAAGAGGAAACAACATAGATCTTGTTTGCGAAATTAGACCCTTCTTTTTTTTATCAGAATTAAGTAATTATGCATGCTAAATTTTCTTTAATTTATCATTCTATTATTCTTAAAAGTATTTCCTTTTAAGAATAGAGTGATTAAGTAAATAATTACCTATTTAATTAGGCATAAAGAATTACTTTTTGATAAAATAATCAAGCGTAAATTATTCTAAGTAATTATAATAATAATAGTAATAATAATTCGTAAATAATTACCAATGTAAATAGGAAACAAAATATAAAAAATCTCCTGCACCGTCCATTCTTTTTTTATCACAATCAAGTAATTAGGCAAAATTGGTTAGGAAACAAATTAATCCCTTCCTTTTTTATCAGAATAGAGTGCTTATGCGTGCAAAATTTCCTTTAATTTATCATTCTAAATAGGTAATATTACACAACCAATCATAGCCGTAGATCTTGTTCGTTCCTTGATATCAATGGTCTAGGAGATGAGTGCATTGGGCGGGAAAATAATTCCTCTGCTTTTAAGAATAGAGTGATATAATTGTTTGAAACAATGTTTATTTGATTGTTGTACATATATTATCCGAAAGTATGAAAGTAAAGTTAGAGAGCGTATCCATTTTCATTGTAAAAAAGATTACCGTTACTCTGAACTTTTAAAATAGTTCTAGGCTTAAGAGCTAGACTACTGTTTAGAACGAGTATTCTTAACTTTTAAAATTGTTTTAGGCTTAATACGCACAATTCTCTTAAAAACAGTTTTCTTTACTTATTATAGATAACCGTGAAAAAAAACGGTGTGACACACACAACTAGTAATACATTACGGTTTCTCAAAACTTTAAAAATAGTTCTAGGCTTAATAGTCTAACTACTGTTTAAAAAGGCTATTCTGAATTTATTATAGACAACTTGTAATAGATTACGGTTTCTAAGAATTTTAAAAATAGTTCTACGCTATATAAATATACTACTGTTACAAGGGAGTCTTATATTCTTATAATAAACAACTATGCAAAACAAAACCATACGAAACATACAACTTACAATAGACTACTATTTCTTATAAGTTTAAAAACAGTTCTAAACTGAAAAACCAGACTACTGTTTAGAAATAGTAGTCTTAACTAATTTTTGACAACTGTGGCAACAAAAACTGTATTTTTAGATGAAACGGACTACTAGTAAAAGATTACCGTTTCTCACAACTTTAAAAACAGATCTACCCTTACTTCATAGGCTACTATTACAAAAGAATCTTCTATTCCCATTAGAAACAATAGTGGCAAAAAAACCATATGAAACAGACAACTAGCGATAGATAACTGTGTCTAATAAGTTTAAAAACAGTTCTAGACTAGAACACCAGACTACTGTTTCGATAGAGTATTCTTAACTTGTTATTGACAACTGTTGTAACAAAAACTGTATTTTGAACGGACACAGACAACTAGTGATAGATTACCATTTCTCAAAACTTTAAAAACAGTTTTAAAGCAGAATAGCTAGACTACTGTTCTGTTGCCAAGAAAAACTTACAGTAGTATGTTTTTTTCCAACTACTGTGTTTCCATTAACAGTAGTTAATCAACAGTCGTCTGATACTGTTTTTGGCGTAGTGTATGTTGGGACAGTCACCTAAATGAACTATTGTTTCTCTTTCTTCTGCTGAAGCTGAGTATCGCGCTAAGGCTAATGCATGTAATGACATTCGTTGGATACGATGTATTTTGACTGTGTTAATGGTTCCTTGCGTTGCTACTCCTTGGTTATATTGTGATAATAAGTCTGCTTTATATATTGCTGCGAATCATGTCTTTCATGAGCAATCTAAACACATTTATATAAGTTGTCACATTGTTCGTGAATGTGTTCAACGCAAGCATGTTGCTACTGCCTATTTTCCTACAAAACTACATGTGTCAAATATCTTCACGCAAGCATGTTGATCTCTTCCGCTTCTTATTATTCAATTGGGCAGTCTTGATATTTATGCTTCAACTTGAGGGGAATATTGGAATATATTTAGGTATATATTTTGTATATATGTAGTTTCCTTGTATAGGAAATTTTCCTTTGTTAGTTTGAAGATATCACTTTGTATATATAACAACTTCCACCTAATGAGAAAGTAATCAATTCACTTCCAAATTTTTTCAAATTCCACGTCCTTACTTTTCTTAAATCTAACCGAACATATTCCAATAATCTTCTATGCTTTATCCATTTTGGCATTTCTCAAATCCTACTAGTTTCAATTCATGTCACTTCCCCTTGTTCAAACTTCTACAATTGCTTCACCTCCCAAAAATCAAAACAAAAAATATTTTGCAGGCGGAAGAAATACATCTTTTTCCCATTCATTCATTTGGCCAGCTCCCTATAATTATTTGCTTTCGCCACTAGAAAAGGATTCCCATTAGGATTGTAATATTCTCCTTTCATATACACCTCACCATACATCTTTTGTGAAAGCTCCACCACCAACGTACCCCATCGATCTCTTCTCATACATCTCATGTAATAACCCCAAGATAAAAACATATATATACACAAAGTATATATCGATTATTCATATCATATAAAGGAAAAAAGATCCCAAATAAAAAAGAAAGAAGATATAGAAATATAATTAAAGCTGCTGCCAACCAATGGATATCTCTTCCTCCTCCTTAGAAAGGGTTGGTTATGTTCAGTGCAATTTCTGCAACACTATTCTCGCGGTATTATTCATACTTAAACTTCTCTCCCTCTCTCTAATTAATTATCTTTTGTATCATATGAGTGTCTGTATCTATATAAAAATATACCCATCCAACTATAAGATATAATTAATTCCCCATATATAAATGCATATAATCATAAATACTAGCTGAGTTGCTTGGCTAGATCATCAGGTCATGATGATTTCAATTTTTAAAACTTGAAGTTATTTTTTTTTAAATTTTTAATTTTATGCTATTTAATTTTATGGTTTGGATCTTCAAGAACTGATGAAGAAGTTGATGAAATGGGAAAGGGTATAGGGTAATTTCCCAATTCAGTAACGGACGTAACCCAAATGTGAACCGAAAGGAAAAGGTCACCATTAAATTATTAGTCATAGATGAAGAGTTGAAGTCGCTTGGTTATTAATTGAGGTCAAGGGAAAAAAGTTTTTACTCTATACGGAGTATATTTCTTTTATTGTCCTTCACATTTAACTATTTTAGATTATTAATATGATTATATAATTAGGGTTCTTATTCATTTTTTATTAAAAAAATCACCCAAAATTGGTGTAAAATACGGCTCTTATATCTAAAATAGGAGCTTTATATTTTTTTTCTTTATATTATGATAATGTGATATTGTATATTAGCTTTTTCACAATCTTTTCCTTTTTGAATGTTTTTTAATTAATCCTTTCATTTTCTTTTAAATTCATGTTCATTGTTTTTCCTCTACACAAATTTGAACACTATTATTTCATACGGAGTATTTCTTAAATTGCGTAAGAAGTCAAACTTGAAAGGTTATTTTATTTAGGGATAGTAAGATTAGTACTTTCTTCAAAAAACATTCGTTCGTCCGTTTTAATTTTTTTACACTCAAATATGATGACCATTGATTATCAATTAAAAAAGAATGGTATTACATACATTAATTCCAAAACCATTTTATTAGATTTATTATGAAAAAAATAAAATTACTCGTATTTTATTGCAGCAATATACAATGTCACCATTAATTAAGGGATTATCATAATCTATTTAGTTTAATATAAAAAAGGTCAAATTTAGATGACCAAAAAAGCCCATCCAATTCGAATTTAACAAACATCTAAAACAAGGAGAGTAACTTTGTGTGTCTAGATGGTTTGATAAAACATTTATAGTACCAACAAATACTATATTATAATTGAACTATCAGTAAAAAAAGAAGTTACGTAATCATTATGTACTCTTTCCGCCCACCTAAGATATTCTCATTACGCATTACGAGGCTTAATCGACTTTATTTTCAATTCAATTTATTTAATTATAGAGGTAAAAATTTTGAAAATAAAATTTATATACTCCCTTCCTTCCTGAAAACATGAGAGATTTTAATTTTTAAGAGATTTAAAGGAGTATATTTTGGTGTTGAGATTTCAAATATGTCTTTGGATGTGATAGATAAAAGTAAGATTTGATAAATAGATTACTAGTGAGGGCCTGTTCTTTTGGACTTGAACTCTTAATTTTCAGTTTTTTCCAGTTTTTTCCAGTTTCTTCCAGTTCCTTCCAGTTTCTTCCAGTTTCTTCCAGTTTCTTCCAGTTTCTTCCAGTTCTTCCAGTTTTTTCCAGTTTCTTACAGTTTTTTCCAGTTTTTTCCAGTTTCTTCCAGTTTCTTCCAGTTTCTTCCAGTTCTTCCAGTTTTTTCCAGTTTCTTACAGTTTCTTCCAGTTGCTTCCAGTTTCTTCCAGTTTCTTCCAATTTCTTCCAGTTTTTCTTGTTTTTTCCAGTTTCTTCTAATTTCTTCCAACTATATTTATTTTCTTCAAATTCTTTCAAATTCTTTCTACTTTCTGACAAATAACTCTAAAAAAAATATATTATTATTATTCTTACAGCTTTTTAATTACAACTTTTATGTTGATAACTATAGTTTATAAATTATTTCATTTTGTCATCTCACTATTTTTATTATTCATATTCATTATTTTTTTCTTCAACTTTTTAATATGAATAATACCATTTTTTTGTATATTAATCTACAAGAAAAAATAGGAAACTATTTAAAAAATTATGGTTAAATAGTTATATACACCCTCCGTCCCTAAATATTCACAACATTTGCTTTTTCAATAGTTGCGGGAACTTTTGTTTATTTCGATGTTTTCATTGATTATTTGATAAAATATATTCATAATATTTTTTTATTTTAAAGACAATCATTTAGATAACGTAATAACACCACCACTATCACCACCACCACTAACAACAACAACAACAACAACAATAATAATAATAATAATAATAATAATTAGTATTATTATAGCAATAATAATAATTTATATCAACAAAAATCAGAATGAGAATAATTTAAAACCACACATAAAAATTTTTTAAAAAATTGTTTTAGATTTTACAATTTATTCTAGTTTTTTCAGTTTCTCTTCATTTTTTCCTGTTTTTCCACTTTTTTCCAGTTTCTTCCAGTTTCTTCTAGTTCCTTCCAGTTTCTTCCAGTTCTTCCAGTTTCTTCCAGTTCTTTCCAGTTTCTTCCAGTTTCCAGCTCTTTTTTTCCAGTCCTAAAGAACAGGCCCTGAATAGATATGATGTGATAGGTATGTTAATAATTAGTAGGGGTAAAAGTGACTTTTCAATATAAATGAGAAAAGTTTTTTGGACAGACGAAAAAAGAAATTAAAAAAGAAAAAATTTCAAGGATAGAGGAAGTAGTAAAAAACTACATGGAAAGTTCTATAAAACTTGAAGTGACATGATTATATTATACTCCGTATTACAAAATGAGGAGTAAAAATAAGAAAATAAAGTAAATTAAATTTGACATTGTGAATAGTATCGGGAAAGATCTATGACGGAAACGTAGGAATTATTACACAAGTAGTGTGAAGAGTTGAAAATATTGGGATGAGTTGAGGTAGAATGGTGGTGGGTTCTTCTGTTCACACCATTAAATTCAATTTCCAAATCCAGTAACCTTTCCAAGTGCTTCTCGTTTATATAATGTCTTCTGCCTATTCCTTTATGGCTTTCTTTTTAAAAATTACTGTACATTTTAATTCATCTCTCCCTCACTGCATAAATAGGTCCCTGATCTTATTTTGTTAAGTTCAGTTCATAAGTATTGATCAAAAAAAACATATCTTAAAATAAAAAAATCCTTCTCCTTAATGAAAAGTTGAATAGTTTAATTTTAGGAATAACAAAATGATTATAGTAGTAGTAGTAGTAATAATAATAATAATAATAATAATAATAATAATAATGAAAACAATATACTACGGAGTACATACCTAGGTCCAAATTTTTTTCTTTCTCAGTGCCAATGTGAAAATCACAAATTGACTTCATGCATCCGATCCACATTATGTAGTCACAAATAAATTATTTCTAACTTTAATCATTTTTTTTACTTATTTATGTTAGTTATTTGAAGACATAATATAATCACGTCATCTCTTATTTTGTAGAACTTTTGATATAACTTTTAGATATATTTGCGTAATTTTATTTTTTTAATTTTATATCTATAATCAAATAAATTTAATTAAAAATAATTTTAGTCAAACCTCGGAAATGAAATTCTGAAGAATGTTTTAGATTTAAATAGTGTGTGTAAGATATACTACCTCTGTCCCTAATACTAGTCTACTATTAAAAATAAATAGATTTAAATAGTGTGTACTCAGTATTAATTAAGATGTTAGTTTAAAACTTTGCCTTTGTTTTATATTGCGTATATAGTAGGATATACGCAATATGGACAAAAGTACTGGTCCGAAATTATTTCAAACCGAAACGGAAAGAATATTTTTAAAAGATTCTAGTAAATTATATCTAGAACTGAACCAAACCTTTTCAAAATGGCAGGGACGAGTTCTCAAGAAATATATACCGAAATACCAAACCCAACTGTTACCACTAAAATATTAAATTAATAAATCAATTATAATTTATTATGTGTTATTTTTTAGTAAGTTTAAATAACAATTATTTAGTGTGACTTTAACATTGTTAAACTTATCTTTGTATAGTACTTTATTACCCCAAAGTGCAACTCAAATCATAGTTTTATTTGTTGAAAATCAAACTATAGTTATGTTTTGTCAAAAATTGTAATCAAACAATACACTTGTTGAATATGTAAGAATGCATAAAAGTATTGGTGTACCAATTTTTTTTAGATTACGTCCATTGTTTATTGTATATGAATAAAAAAATCCAAAGCGTCGAAGTATCATGCAATAATTTGCATTATTATGACATGGTGACACCTCACTACCGAACGACATGGTACCGAATGAGTTTATGTGTAAAACTCAAATCGTATCGAATCGTTCGAAGAGTAACGATATGGTACGAGTTGTTTAAAAATACTGAACCGTCGTCACAGATAGTGCCCACCCTATTCAAAACACGCAGAAACTTTAGTATTTTTGTATGTTTTGATTGATTCTTTAAGAAAATAAATATTCTTAACGCATCTTATTTTAAAACTTTTAACGTAATTTTTAAATATAGACATTTTACTTCTAAATTCTATACAGATCTTTGAATGAAATTTGTGTACCGTATTAAATATTTTGAGACAAGAGAGAATATTGAATAGTACCGGCCTCCTAATAGAATAGACAAACAAAAAAAGTACTCCGTAATGATGAAACATCTACAAGTGCAGATTGTAATCATGAATGATTAATGAGTTATTAGTTGGTGGTGGTAGTTAATTAATTACTTTGTCAAGAGGGAGTACTACTAGCTAGCTAGTAGGTTAAAAGTATAAGGTCAAGTCATGTCAGTTTCCTTTTGGGCCTTCGTCTTTCCCCTCTCTTTTTCCTTCTGAATCACTGATATGAACAAATTCACATTGTTCGTACGTACCATAAAGACATAAAGTCATCAGTAGCTCATAATGAACATCCAAATCATAAATATCCAAGAAAATTCAAAATATTCATTCACTTAATTCCAAATTAGTTTTTTCTTTAGATTCTAGATAGGGTTCTACAAGATTTGAAATCACATTTTGAGCTTTGAATTAAATTTGCACACCAAAACCCACATGATCCAGAGGGTGTTGCGGCATTTCCGCAAAACGTTATAACATCCGTTGTTAAATTACAACCTACTTTCATAATACAGAAAAGTAAAAAAACGTAAAAAACACCATATACTTATGTTTATGCATGCACTTCAAAGAAATTCTTCTAATCTATGGAATCCACATTCGTTAACTAGCCTTTCACTAAATCACTAATTGTAAATTACACCAGTCATAATAACATGATGAGACCAACTTTTTCGAATTATTGTAAAAAAATACTATCTAATCTAGAGTTTTTAACTCGTACCATGTACGGATCCGGGAAGCTCTAGGAGTATTTTGTATTTTTTTTCCCTCTTGATTGCTCCAAGTAAACCAAAATTTCATTTTTACTATTTACATGGTCAAAATTGTATTTTTTTTTTCATTTCACTTAACTGTTAAAATTATTTGTTAGTATAGAATAAAAGAATTTTCTGGTGTAGGTATTAACAATAAAAACATGGATATGTTATAATTAGGTGAGTGTTCCGGGGAGCAGCAGTATATTCAGTTTGGTGACAGTGAGATGTGGGCACTGTTGTAATTTGCTCTCTGTGACTATGCCATCTCCTAATAATTTGCTTCATCCCCCTCTCCCTCTTCAACATTTCATCCTCCACCAGGTATACATTAATTATTATCACATTTTCTGTAGATTTCGTCGTTCCAAATTAATGCTCCTAATTTGATTTTAAAGATTTTCTTTTTCAAATTAAAATAAGTGTTAAAAGTAAAAAATGGTAATTGAAATTTATTTAAAAGAATGGGGTAAATTCAATACATTGTCCTTTGTAAAATGAGATGTTTTATGTGTCTTTTAAGATTTGAGAATTATTATAACTTTGCATTTTGACTTTTTTAGTTAAATTTTTTAAAAATTGACAAAATACCACTGAATTTCATAAAATACACTTAATCAATATATTTATTTTTGAAACATAGTTTTGAAATTTATTAATTTTATAAAATATATTTAAATAAAAATAGAAATATTGATGGCTAAAGTGTTGCATTGGAGATAGTGAAAAGTCAAATAAAAAGTTAATTTTAGGACGGGAGAGTATAATTAGTCTTTTAGTCAAAAAAAATAGTCTACAAAAGATTGATTATAGAATTTTTTTGAATTGAAGACAAATAGAAAATGTACTATTTTGATTTTTTTTTGTGAACGATCATTTCATATTCTCTACGTATATGTATAATAAACGAACTACAACCATCTGGGAAGATTTCTCGATTTCTCCATAGCTAGAGAGTTCTTGAATCTTAATTATCAAGATTAATTAATGTTTTGGGTGTAATGAATTAATGAAGAATGAGGAGAAAGAGAAATGGAATAGTGAAGATGGGATAGGGTCGTCAAAGATCAGAAATGCAGAAGATGATGATGAAGAGGAGGTGGAGGAAGAAGAAGCAAGACTCACCCACATACGCCGTACGTATATATGCTATACTTTCACTTCAATCTTTCGGCATCTTCATTCTCTGTAGTTTCTACCCCCCCCCCCCCAAACCCAACCAAGTTAATCAAATTAATCACTTAACTAAATACAACTCAGAGAGTCACCCGTAATATAACACTACCTTGGTCTCATAAAATTTTTCAATTTTGTTCTTACTTTATAATATACCCCGTTTTTAAAAATACTTTTTTTTTACTTCCAACAAAACACTTCCACTCCCTATTAAAAAACTTCTTTTACCCTTATTTTTTCTTACCTAGTTATCACATCATACTTTTTTTTAATAATCTATCCATCACATCTTACTTTTACGCATCACATCAAGGACAAAATTGGAAGTCAACTACAATTTAACACTTTCTTAATTTTTCCCTTGGTCAAAAGTGGAACTCTTTTCAACAATGGAAAGGGTAATAAAGATTAGATGTGGTAAAGAAATTAATAGTAAATAAATACTCCCTCTGCCCACAAAAGACGTTACAAAGCTTCACTGACTTTATTTTCAAATTAATTTTATTTCATTATAGAGGTAAAATTAAAAAAATAAAAATTTATATCGTAAAATATTACATGAAAAGTTTTACAAAACGAGAGGTGACAAGATTATATTATTTAATGAAATAAGTAGTTAAATAAGCAAACAAAATGAGTTAATTTTTATCTTGTGAATAGTATCTGGAAAGATCTAGGGCAGACGGAAGGAGTATGATGTGATAGGTAGGTTATTATTTAATACTCTCCCCATTCTAAAAAAGAATTCATGTTTTGACCGAGGGTAAAATAAGAAAATATTAAATTGTAGTTGACTTCCAATTTTACTCCTGATATGATGGGTAAAAATAAGACGTGATGGAAATGCATATTTTTTGCGACGAATGAAAATTGAAACTAGATATATTTTACGGAGTAATAGAAAAAGTAAGAATTTTGTGAAACAAAAGAAAAAGAAAGGGGATAAGTTTTGGGGGGAGAGAGAGGGGGAATATATTGTACTCCCCCGTCCCAAAAAACACTTTACCTTTCCTTTTTTATTTGTCTCAAAAAACGCTTCTCTTTTTCTTATTAAAAAGTCACTTTTATCCATATTAATTCTTAACCTACCTATCACTTCACATTTTTTTCTATTAATCTAGCCATCACTACATCCTATTTTATTCATCACATCAAAGGGCATTTTTGAAAAGCAAACATCAAAATACACTCCTCTAAAATCTTTTAAAAATCAAAATGGGAAGTTTTTTAAGGGTCGGAGGGAGTAACTTCTTTTGAGAACCAAGCTAGGTAAGCCTTCCAAAAAAAAAGCCTGCTTGGTATGTGTAAAAGTGAGAGTGGGAGGAAGCCGAGGCAGACAGGGGTTGAAGAAGCAAATACTTGGAACAAGTGTATGTTAATCCAATCTATCTATCTATGCCCCACCATTAATTAGTAGTTCGATGACTGATGTTGATAGTGACAAATCATAGGCATCCAACTCAGTAACTAATTAATGAATTGGAAGCATGCATTACTGCGTCCCCTGCACCCGGACGGACGTAGGAACCCACCCCCCTTAACCCTAAGGTCTATTCTTGGCATAAATATGTTAACCTAGCTCCCTACTGTCACGTCCACACCACCCCAAATTACAAATTTGCTAGGGTACACTAGATGATCCTCTTTTTAAATGTGTACCTTCACATATCATTATTGTCCCTCAACATTTGTAATTTGATGGGGAAGGGTTTTGTGGAACGGAGTGAGTACTAAATAAGAATATTTTATTTTACCAAATACTCCTTCCGTCTCAGGAAAATTCGTCCAGTTTTGACTTTTGGGACTGTTCATCTAAGCACTTTGATTCATCAAAGTCTCTCAATATGTAAGCCTAAATATAGTCATGTGTGATCTTGTTTGATTTGTCTTAACATATAGATTATTAATATATAATTTCTATAATTTTTTAATATACAAATTACAAGATAAAATGGATTAAAGAAATGTATTGGATGTTGTGTAAAAATGAAAGTGGACAAATACTCTGGGACGGAGGTAGTACATAATTAAATTGCGCAAATAAACAACTAAGGATTGAGGGAGTAAAACTTATATTCCATCTGTCTTGAAAAATCTTTCTTCTTTCTTTTTTCATACTCCCTCCGTCCCGAAAAACATGGAAGTTTTGATTTTGAAGAGGTATTTAAGGAGAGTGTATTTTGGTATTGAATTTCCAAAAATATCCTTTGATGTGATGGGTAAAAGTATGATTTGATGGATAGATTATTAGTAAAAAGGTATGATGTGATAGGTAAGATGTGAAAAAGTAAGGGGTAAAAGTGACTTTTTAATAGAAAGGAGAAGTGTTTTTTGGGACGGATGAAAAAAGAAAGGAGAAAGGTTTTCAGGGACGGAGTGAGTACATCTCAAAAAACTTTTTCTCATTTATATTAAAAAGTTGCTTTTACCCCAACTTTTTCTTAACCTACATATCACATCGACTCACTATTAATCCACCTATCAAATTTTATTTTTACCAATCACGTCTAAGTGCATTTTTATAAACTCAAACCAAAATACACTCCTTTTAAATTCCTTAGAAATCAAAATATCCCATGTTTTTAGGTACGGAGAGAGTAAGTGATAATCTACTTTTTATTTGAAAATTCACGTACGAGTGTTAACAACAATGTCAACCGCGGTGGGTTTCTAGCATGACTCACTGTCTCACTCCCCAAATAATCTTGCTCTAAAAAATCTCTAACTCCTTCATTCTCTACCACATGGTTTAGCTAAGTTTTTTAGATTTATACATTTCCTCCGATTGGAACTGTATGATGAACTTTTTTTAATGAAGCTCGCCCTCACGCGTAGGATGATGAACTTTTTTTAAAGAGATAAGTTTTGAATGCTTTTCTCTCTTTTTCATTCGTCGCAAAAAATACTTCTTATTTCTATTAAAACGTCATTTTTACTCCTTATTTTTTTATACCCTACCAATTACATCATACTTTTTTACTAATAATCTATCTATCAAATCTTACTTTTATCCATCATATCAAAAAACTTTTTTTGGAATTTAATACCAAAACACAATTCCCTTAAATCTCATAAAAATTTATAACTCCCACGCTTTTAGGAACGGATGGAGTATATCATTTCTCCTTTATTAATTGCGAGTAGACATTATTTTGCGATTAAAATTGAATTATTGACCGGGCAATACTCGACTCCTGAGTTACCAACAAAATGCAAATGATATTATTAGGAGCAGGGAGCATAGAAAAATGGTTCTTATCGAGTGCCACGGGGAGTCATGGGTATTTAGGGCTTATTTTCTTCAATTGAGCTAATTGATTCTGATATGACTAGATTAAATTTTGATTTTATTTGATTTGATCTGATTGTAGTTCTATTTTAAAAATTTTCTAATATGATCTGATTCTAATAAAAATAAGTAATAACAATATGTTTAAATTAAGTAATTACAATATGATCTTATTATTATTATTATTATTATTGTTGTTATTATTGTTATTATTTGAGTATTATTAACTCGATTACAATATCGTATACGTACAATGAGTTAGTGGCTCTGGCTCCTCTAGAGCTCGAACTTGGCTTACTTCTTCATTAATCTTGGAGAGTATGCTTCCTACAACTCAAGCCAAGGGAAAATATTGATATTATTATTATTGATTGTGATCGGTAGGTTGGGATGTTATGATAGACTAATAATAAATAAACATATAAACATGATGTGATAGATATGATAATAATTAATAGTGGTAAATATGAGATTTTAATTGCAACATCAAGAATTTAATTAAAAGAATAAAACGGATAGAAAGTAGAATTCTTTTGTGAAAGGGAGGGGTATACATCCACACATAGACACACACCGTGTATTATTTGCTTTTTATTTACCCATGCATAGTTTACATCCACACATAGACACACGCTTTTGTGAAAGGGAGAAAGTACTCTATGCATAGTTTTTGTCCTTATGTTATTTACCCATATCACGCGGTGTATGTATGTATGAGTTGCATAATTAACACGCTGTGTATTATATTGCAGCACCGGAGAAAAGGCAGCGAGTCCCTTCTGCTTACAATCAATTCATCAAGTAATTAACTTTTCTATTTCACATTCTCTTTAACTTTAGTTACAACTCACATGGACTAAAATATGGGTAAAGTATATTTTTAAAAAAATCAAAATAAAAAATTCATGATTTTATTTGTAAAATAGTGTGTGTGTGTATAGATTTTGGTTCTGGTGAAAATGCGATCTTAGGAGAGAAATGAGAATCAATCTGGTGCTTTAGATTGTGAGATATAAGGGTCAGGATTGCATCAAAATTAGGTGAACCAAAATGGTTTGAAAATGCATCATGTCGAAATGCACCAAGATCCTTTGAAAATGCACTATCTCAAAATCTGAGCGCAAGATGCAATCTGAGCCGCACGATGCATCAGATCCAACAGCTAGATTTTATTCTCATTTCATATAATAGCCAAAACATAAAATACTGTATATTGTAGGGAGGAGATCCAGAGGATAAAAGCTAGCAATCCAGATATTAGCCACCGCCAAGCTTTCAGCACTGCTGCTAAAAATGTAAGCAATCTTATTATATACACCCTCCGTCACAAAAAGATTTACACCTTTCCAAAAAATTGCGTCCCACAATCTCCTACCCATTTCTATTAAAAACCACTTTTACCCCTTACTTTTTCAAACCCTACCTATCACATCATACCTTTTTCCTTATAATCTACACATCACATCCTACTTTTTCACAACAAATCAAGGTTATTTTTAGAAAGTCAATACAAAATTATCTCTCCCTTAATTTCCACTTTAGTCAAAATGTGTAAAACTTTTTGGGACGGAAGAGTACTCCTTTGGTACCTAAAAATCTTCTCCTTTCATTTTTTTTTGTTGTCTGCAAAAGATGTTATCTTATCTATTCAAAAATACTTTTACCTTTATTTTTTCATACTTTACCTATCAAATCATACCGTTTTACTAATAATCTACACATCACATCTTACTTTTACCTATTATATCAAAAGTATTTCTAGAAAGTGTACACAAAAATATCCCTCCCTTAGATCTTCCAAAAGTCAATAAGGGAAGATGTTTCAGGGACGGAGGAAATATCAGGTTTGATTTTGTCGATGTTTTTCTGTGGTGGTGCTTATTAAGTTATTGCTAATAAGCAGTTTTTAACATATAAATTGCTTATCAGTCAAATATTTTTTCGTGGAAGAAAAATGACATAAATGTTCGTTAGATATATCATTTGTAAATTTTCATAAATGGTGAAAAATAGTTTTGTAAATAATGAGGTTAAAACGGAAAACAAAAAAACTGGCTTAAAAATAAGTAGTTAAGACTTACTTATTTTTTCTGACTTATAAGCAACTTATAAGTCAACTTATAAGCACACAAAAACATGTCACTAGCTGACTTATAAATTAAAAATTGCTTATAAGTATTTTGACCAGCTTATAAGCACAGAGAAACACCCACTATATATGAGTGAAATGTGGCGAACTTTAATCATCAATTACTCTCAATTTATGTTACTCCCTCAGTTTCTTAAAACAATTTTTCTTTCTTTTTTTCTCTTTCCCCAAAATACTTCTACTTTCTATCACATTAAGGACAAAATTGAAAAGTCAACTATAAAAATCTACTCCTTATTTTGGCTTAAAGTCAAAATATAATAGGTTTAAAAAACGGAGGGAGTACATATGAATACAATGAAATCAAATTTAAAAGGTTTCAACAAGTTGAATTTGAAGAAAAAAATCAAATACTAATACACATTACAATTTTAATTCAAACCCAACGTTCATCTAGTTTAACTCGAAAAAGTCAAATTAAATGAATATGATGTGACGAAAGTAGTACTTGTTATTATAGTGCATTAATTTTTTGATATACATCAGACAATGATGTAGACTAGTACAATTACCACAAACTAAAACATACTCCTTGTGTTCCAAAAAGGGTTCCTATTTTGACTAATAAGTAAAATAAGGAACATATATTTGTAGTCGAGTTTTTAATTTTTTCTTTGATGTGATCTGATGTATAGATTATTAGTGAAAAAAGTATGATGTGATAGGTAGAGTAAGAAAAAAGTAGAGATAAAAGTTGTTTTTTAACTAATAATCAATTTATCACATCCTATATTTACTTATCATATAATGGATAATTTAGGAAAGTCAAAAATATTGCTATTTTAGATCATATAAAAATCAAATAGAGAAGTGATTTTAGGGACATGAGTACGTACTTAGTTCACTTTGGTCTTTGGGTATATTTTGTAAAGTAGAAAATGATTTCTAAAAAATTTAAAATGTTTCTAAAATAATGAGTTTTGAAAATGACTTCAGATTTTTGAATCTCTTTCATTCTCTCTCACTCATGGAGGCAGACTTCTTTTCTTTTCCTCTAGATATTGATTAAAACCTTGCTGCATTAACAAGTCTTGAATCGTACTCCGCCACAATGTAAATGTTATATTTTCCCATCAAAGAGAGAATCCCCACCGTCCACACCAATGCCGCCGCATTCCCTTAGTGTTGTCGTCGTTGTAGCCCATAAACCCATTATTGTACTTCCTCTCCCATCGCCAACACCATGTACCGCAACCCCTCTACCTTATTGTGTACGGTCATTGCCTCTTTCCTTTTCTTATCATTCCCTCCTATTATTCCAATTTATAAGCTTATATGCCCCCTATTGAGGAATGGATATGTGTCTCGGCCTCTTTTCTCCAATTCAAACAACTAAAGCACGCAGTTAATAATACAAAGACACAACTTTGGAAAGTAAATTTCGTATTATATACAGAAATTTACAAGAGATATTACAATTACACAGGTAGCACACTACACTGTTTGTATTGGGAAAACATTTCTCTACACCTCACTCACAAGCACTCTTAAGAATCCTTATTGGTTCTTCACTCATATATTACCGAATGAGACATCCACACCCCTATTTATACTAATCACTAAGACTAGGGCGCTTCTAGAGTACTCCACACATCCCTACATTTTAAGTTCTTTTGGAAAGTCTCCACAAGCTTCCATAAGTTTCTAGAAAAATCTAAAGGACTCAACATAGTTCTAGAATAGTGAAATTTGCACTAAATAGGACGAAAACATAATGACTTTCTTAATGTAGTTCTAGAATATTTTAGAGAATTCTGCATTCTTCTTTTTTCCACATACTTCTAGAGACTTTCAAACTTTTCTAGAAATCTCTATAATATTCTAGAAACTTTTATAATTTCTACATAATCTTAGAGATTTATACGCTTTTCTAAAAAAATCTACAACATTCTACAAAATTCTACACATTTCCAACTTTTAAAATTCTCTAGAGTCTTTCCTCGTAGTCTTTCGAAAATATTGAAGTAATATCTTAACACTCCTACAATAGAGTGTGTGGTTGCCAAGGTCATAGTAGCATATATATATATATATATATATATATATATATATATATATATATATATACTACCTCCGTCCCGTGAAACATTTCCCCTTTCTTTTTTTATCCGTCCCACAAAACACTTCTCATTTCTATTAAAAAGTCACTTTTACCCCTTACTTTTTCATACCCTAACTATCACATCATGCTTTTTTACTAATAATCTATTCATCAAATCATACTTTTACCCATCACATCAAAGGACATTTTTGGAAATTCAATACCAAAATACACTCCCTTAAATCCCTCCTAAAAAGCAAATGTCCCATGTTTCACGGGACGGAGGTAGTATATATATATATATATATATATATATATATATATATATATATATATATATATATATATATATATATATATATATATATATATATATATATATATATATATATATATATATATATATATATATAGACACACACACATACATATATTTACATACATACATATATATGTGTGTGTGTGTGATGTACTTATAATTTCTTCTCTATCAAATAACGAGTTAAATATTGTTGTATACTTGTATGTGATACATGTTTCAAATGCAGTGGGCACATTATCCTCATATCCATTATGGGCTAAATGTTGAAAACAAGCAAGCCAATTTAGATCATCATGTTGTGGGAGGGGAAGCGGCTCAAAAATCCATTGGTCTCTGCTAAGAAAGTATATTATATATATTTCAATAATGCCCTGATTTATTATTTGAATTTATTGTTAATACATTGTTTGTACGTGTGTATATGTAAATTTATGTATATGAAGATGTAATTTATGTGGTCATAATTTATTTGGAGAGATGAATTTTTGAATCCACCAATAATTAAAAAACCTGGCCTAGAACATTCACGAGATAGAGTGTACCGTATAAATGGAGAAACCTTGTACTAGAAAAGGGAGATCAGATTTTTATGAGAACTAGAGCGTAATTACATTGGGAGAATAATCTTTTCCTCTTAACAATTATTATTAGGGATTTTCTTCGGTGCCTTCCCAAATAAAGGGGCATGGATGCCCCTCCACCCAATTGGCGCCATGTGGATTGCTACGTGGATTGATAGGGCATTTACTACTACTATCACTTTAGCTTTAAGAAATTGCAAAATGGTCCTCTCTCCAGACTCTCTATGTTACTCTGTATGTTACTTCTCTTTTATGGAGTACGGAGTATTATTTTACCCGTCAAAAATTTATTCACTCAATTCATTTTTTAATAACTTCTCCTCCTTACGTCGCTAAATAAATTTTCCTTTTTGACTTTTTGAGCATTTAAGAAAAAGATATTTTTGTATTGATTTTCCAAAAATACTCTTGATGTGATGTGTAAAATTAAGATGTGATATGTAGATTATTAGTAAAAAGGTATGTTGTGATAGGTAAGGTATAAAAAAGTAAAAGGTAAAAGAGGGTTTTTAAGGGAAAATAGAAATTTATTTAGGGACAAAGGAAAAACTTAAGGAAAAATTTATTTGGGGACAAAGAGAGTACTATCTTAGTCCCTGTGTATTTTTTTAGTTCGATTTTTTTGAGTCAAATTATATAAACTTTAAGTTTAATTTGAATTACTCTCAACTTGTATTGCATATTAGTACAATAAAATAAAATTTTTGAAAATTCTCATTAAAATAAATCTAAGAAAAATCATTTTATACTAATATCATTAGAGTATATATAAAACCATTCTTGGGCTACAACCGCAAACTTAAGCTTTTGGTTGAATTGATTATCTGATATCGTATCAAAGCCTTAATGACTAAGAGGTCACGAGTTTGAAACTCACCGCTACCTAATTTTAAAAAAATTAAAATTTCACATGCAAGACTCAAAAAAGTCATGTTTGTACGTGAGGGGCGTGTTATAGTTTATAAAATTATTTATGAGCCACAAAAAAAGCATGAGTTTTTGGTTGAATTGGTTCCCTAATAAACATACAAAGAAGTAATTAACATAAATTATTTTACAATCAAGTAATTAACATTAATTATTTTACAATCAAGTAATTAACGGATAAAGTTGTTACTTATTATTTTTTTTATTGGAATCAGTTCAGATCAGATAAGAAACAACTTTAAATAAAAATACATTTAGACAGTTCAGATCAGATCACAAGTTACTCCAATCAGATAAGAATAATTCAGATCGTGTGAAGATAACAAGCCCTTAGCTTGTTCACTGCTCTTTTTTACTTAAAGATCAAGAAGCATAATATATACTCTTTCATCCAAGATTAAGTTGTTTGTTTATTATTCACAGAGTCAAGCTTTAATTCATTTTTTTTTATATTTTTGTTACTAATTTGATAAAATAATTTAGTCATGTCAACTCTTACTTCATAAAACTTTTGGTGATAGTTTTAATATGTCAACTCTAAGGCTATCTATAGCTAGGACTGTTTCAATTTAAGTGCAGACCGAAAAAATCGGTGGAACCAAAGTGTTAGGTTTAGACAAAACTCAGACTGATTGCATTTGTGGTCGATCTTTGGTCCATCTATTTTAAATTTTCGATTTTCGATCTGGTTTGGTCTAACTTGAATTAATTTCGGTCTAGACCGAAAAGACCGTCTTAGCCCCTAATTTTGGTCGGCTAAACGTTTTGAAATCCATTGCCTAACTCGTCGTCTAACTTTTCCCCAACCACGTCTGTAACATCCCAATCTACGTAACCAAGGCCAACGAGTTAGCGAGTCAATTTACTATTACATTGGCATCAAAACAAAATAAATTTAAATCACATAGTTAAGACCATGTTAAATACTAATACATTTAATATTGTATTTATATTCTTAGTAGCTACCTTATGTATAGCTTTCCTTTTATATTCCCCTACCATAATTAAGAGCGAGATCCTTGTACATATATTGATGTAATCACCCATTGTTCAATCAAGGAAATTAATCATTCTTCACAAACTCCATCAGTTCATCCTAATGTTTTTCATAATTGTCTTTTTAGGAAGTTAAATTAGTTTTTTATAGGAAAAATGCTAGAGTCACAAACATATAGTTCACAAACTTCACAAACTTTCCTTTTGTGGATTTTAAATTAAAATATCATTTATTATTTGAGTACATCTTATTTTTAGGAAAGTGTTAAAAAGGTAAATTTGTGAATTTTGTGAACTGTTTGTTTGTGACTCTAGCATTTTTTTTTTCTTTCGCACTTCAAACACTAGCTTTTTTGGATTCTTTTTCTTCTAGATTTTATGTTGTGCAGTTTTCGGTATTTTCAACTTAGCTTAGATTAAATATTGATTTCAAAAACAAAGTGCCCAAGTTGATTACTATGTATCTCCTTTCTATCGTGCTATTTTAATTTTATTTTCCCTTTTTTCAATAAAAATGGTAAATAGGATATTTCGACCATTTTCCATACATATTCTACCCATTAAAGTTTTGGTCCGTTTGGTCCAAATTGGGTCGGTCTTACATATTTCAGCCCGGTCTAGAATCAATTCTCTTTAGGTCTAGTCTTCGGTCCTTATTTTGGCTAATTTCGATCCAGTCCAGTTCTAAACCGATAGATAACTCTATTAGTAGCGCTCCACCACCACTCACTCCAAATCAGCAACCACTCCGTCACACATTTTAGTGCTGACTGCACTTATCGTCTTACTCGCTTCACACTCGTAGTGCATCACTTTCTCACATCCACTCACGTGGTCGTGACCACTACCTTTCTCACATCCACTCACGTACATCACTCACAAGGAGGGTGGGGGTGTTCATCACTGATGTGGCAATGCCACAGGCATTCACTCCTCTCCCTCCGTGAGGCACTACGACTAGCCTAATTAATATCCACCCACGTTCGCCGATCATGTTGAACTCTTGGACCTAAAATATTGAAAAAAATTTGACATTGACATCACATGGTAGAAATACTCTATCTAAACGGTAGATCATCACACACTAACCATGCCTCAAAGCGAATCGCCATCACAATGTTCACCCTCTCTTAATCTTGCCATTAAAATGTCATCACGCAGAAAGACTCCAACCAAATCCAATGATGCAACATATAGCTAGGAACCCCAGGACAAATCCAACACAAGCATGACCTCATATCAGAGGACCCTGAGTCGTGTCTAGGCACATCGCAATAATTGATGTCCTCGTCGTAGTAAGTGTTGGACATCTTTACAAGTGTTGAGGACTAAAAACGTGTGGGAGCAAGAAATGTCAAAGAATAGGTCATTGTGATGAATCTGGTGATAAGAATTATTGACGAATACCAGACATCGAAAATCAAGAGTTAAAGACCTTAAAAGAATCTAAAAGAAGAAGGCCCACGACTCTTGGGTTGAGGTTGGAATTAAGTCGCAACCGGCCTTCTCATATCAGGGTTACACAAGGGATAAGTATGTGCTTCCCGACTAGAGACACGAAGCTCGACATTCTAAGCTTGAATACTAAGGTATTTTCTATGTTCAAGGTCCAGGGGTGTAGGGCAACCCAGTCTGTCGAGTTGGCCTTAAATTGTGACGACGCATTTTAATTAATACATGTAGAATATTATGGACACGTGACTTAACGCGCCAAATGCAAGTATGGGGGAGCAAGACAACTCTCAGTCGTCTATAGATAACCTTCCCTGGCATGTGACAAGGGGATCGAATTCATTCTAGGCTCACTTCACGTGATTCACCCCAAAGCTTTTAAAATTTTATTTAAAACGCTAACAGTAACTCAAAAAGAATTTGAGTCACTTATTTGACTAAAACGGATGTAAGCAGCCATTTTCCCTTTCCACAAATTCCGCATTCAAATTCAACCGTTTTGCCGGATAATTGTAGCCAAACAGGCCATGAATGGCTAAATCTACCACAAATATTATAGCATAATACAAACACATTCACCATTATGTGCAAGAAACATTTCAAACATGCACTGGCTAGATAGACAGCACAATGATAAGGAAAAGTGATAAAACACAGGCTGTAAGAGAAATGTAATAATGATAATTAGTAATATTGTATATATAAACTGAAAGAATAATACTACAGCATTTTACAACTTCACTATGCAATCTATTTCAAGCTACCTCCCTCTATTCCGTTAGCTGGTGATCATGCAAAACTCGGTCTTTTATCGCACGCACAAAAAAATGGTATACAATGTAAGACACCCCACTTTATGTCAACCTTTGCGCTGCCTTCGATCAATAGTCATTCACTATCCCTCTTTAATGTTAACCTCAATCAATCAGCATCCTAGAAAGTGAAAAAAAAATGTGTATTGCCCCCAAAATCGCCAACCCCAAGTGTGCCAGCAAACAACAAACAACAGCAGTGAAAATGTGTGATTCTTCTTTACCAGACTGGCGCGGTTGGTTAAATGTGAATGATGCCTTGTATCAGGAGTCCACAAGACAGCTCTAGCAAAGCTAAGATATAGCTAGCTATGTTCATCACCCAGATTCTTCTATGTGTTCTTTTCTTGTACTCTTTTATAGAAGAGAACATACGCAGCTGAGGTTTTTATCTTGTCCACATTGATGGGTGAAACATAGCTGTCGTCAAAGTCATACCACTGATCACCCCCTTGCTACAACAAAATGAGAATCAAACCTTTAAAAACAATACTCATAGTGCAATGGATCATATACTGCATTTTTTATCTTATTCACAACCCTTAAATCTTAAATCTTAAATCAACTTACACGAACATACGCAGTGTAGTGTCCACCTCCGATGCTTCCATAATGATTGCTAATTGCATAAAGCATATACCGGAAAGAAGATTTTTCTTCATTGTTGGCAATATATGAAGACAATTCAAGATCATGGATAGGGAAATCAACAAGCGTCTCTAATTTGTTCTTCAAAAACCGTTTGAAGGAGAATCTCTTCATATGAATAACCAGAATCTCTGGCAACCTCCAAAGATCTAACTTTTTATTAGCTTGGCGGTGCTCTTTGCACTCAGGACAGTACCTTGTGCAATACAGCAGAAAACACAGTTAGAGCATTTTGTAGGACACTCCAACTAGATAACAGAATTGATGTTTTATGCGAGAGGTTGATACAAAAATATATTGAAGCCGATTCACACACACGCACGCATTGATACAGCCTTCCATATATGTAGGTTGAAGCAAATAAGGAAATACACTCCATTATGGCGACTATCATTGCATTTGTTATTATTACTCCACACCTAAGGTTGTTAAGTGGTAACATTAAGTGCAATCAAATCTCCATTGACATATCTATTTATATTCTGTGTATAATATTTTCAGCAAATGCAAAAATGTATGCTTTTGAAGTGCAAAGGTAAATAATTGGACTGAAGAAACTAGCATCTAAGTTTCTAGAAGATGATAAAATCTGTGTGCAAGGTATAAAAAATGACTAGGGATGCCAGAAAATAGTTTGTCAATCATTGCAAATCAAGACAATATTATCTAAGGCATTCAAAAAAAGGAAAGGAACGTAGTTCAAAATAAATCGATTAAGTAGTTAACATTTGAGGTTGTCAAACTTGTGTCGGAAGAGCTAAGAGAGTTTTAGAGATGCCAAATATTAGCAAGATTCAAATTGTGAATTAGGCAACGTAACACAAAAAAGAAAAAATTGTTTTCATTCAAGAGTGTTGGGAAGCAAAGGGTGAAGATGAACACAAGGTTAGTGTGGTGGAAAAGAAGATGCTTCATTGGATGAGCAGTGACACGCGTATGGATATAATAAGAAATGAAGATATGAGAGCTAAGTTGGAGTGACACCTATTGTAGAAAATATGGTACAAACTCGTCTTAGGTGGTTTGGACATGTGGAGAGAACACCAACAAAGCATCCGGTGAGAAGAGTTGATCAAATGGTGAATAGACATGTGGCTAGAGGAAGAGGTAGACCTAAGAAGACTTGGCAAGAAGTGGTCATGGGGACCTTCGAGTGAACGATCTCACGGCAAATATGGCAAATATGAGACATGATAGGGCGCAACGGCATCGTTTGATCCATGTAGCCGACCCCACCTAGTGGAATAAGGCTTTGTTGTTGTTTTTATTCAAGAAAAAAAGGCAGCCAAAAAAAATAAAATAAATAATTGAAGTTGCATCTTTTCAGGAAAATACTTACCATTTCAAAAGGATAAAATATCTACAATTTCAAAAGGAGACTAAATGTAGCATGCAATGTAAATACTTGAAAGAAAAAATCATAAAATTTATAAAATTGGATGTTTACCACATGTCATCGGGTCCTAGAGGCTCCTCCTTTAAGAATGCCTCAAGACATTCATACAGAGAGGCCGACTCTTGTGGTCTTCTTGTGGAAGAACAAGGCTTGCAAAGTTCTGGTAATGAGTTAAAAGCACCCCTATCATACTGTTCAAGCATTTTAGCTGGCCAGCAAACCAGTACGTTAAGCCGTGTAGGCAAATCTGTGAACTTTAGGGGCTCATTCATTACAAGCACAGCGTTGCTGGTCATTCCTTTTTCATCACTTAGTAGAAACTTAAAATCACTATCCAATTCTGAACCAAATGATTCATCATCAGTACTTTCTGAGAAATAACCTAAGCTATGACTGCTGACTTCCATTTCAGTAGCTACATCAGCAGAACAATTTCCAACTCTATCACCTTTCCCATCAATATCCTCACTGCAAACTTTGAATGGAAGAAGTAATCTGGCATACACATCACGCAGGTCGAACCCATTTTCAATTCTACAACTTGCAACAAATGGAATACCAAATGGCTTCCAACTTGAAGTGAGCTTACCAGAAACGCAATGCCTGAGAAATAGAAAAACAAAAAAAAGTTATACCTTTGGACAATGAGCCAAGAGCATGAAAGGATGGCTTCAACCTAACAAAGCTTGAGAAAATTCACATAGGATTCTCATCACAAGGAGAAGATATAACATCACATAGCATATACAAGCATAAATTTACAAATAAAGGCATATAGACTACTAGCAACTCATATCACCATTCAAGGCATTTATGCCACTACTCTGTGCACTTTCCATTCCTCTTTATATTCCCTAGAGAAACTGAGTATGGAAGAGGATTTGGTGAATATAAAACACATCTTTAGAAACAGAGAAAAGGGTGCATACTTCTGCAATCTCGGAGAGCAAGAACATTTATCTAAATATCAATACTAGCAAACACGTTATGCCCATACTAGAACCTTATGAGTTATGAGATTAGTCAGTAAAACTGTTATCTAACCTTACCATACACAAATCACAAGTCACAACTCATATTCCACCTCACCGAGCTCTTGTAACCACGAGCTTATATGTCCATGGTTTTTTGGAGTGTCCCAAAAAGAATCCTCTTTCCAGTTTTGGAAATTTTATGTTGCTCACAATCTTTCTCTACCCTAGGATTTCTGGCCCTTACCGAGGATATGACTTTAGATAGGAATGTTTGGAATGTTTGTAGAGCAAAGATTAGGGTAGTTGGGTAGGCGGTTTGGGCTTTGTGGAGTTGGTGGTAGTTTTTGCACTTGTTGCTATGTGCTTTTTATGCTTGGTGATCTCCCTTTGTTAATATTCAGTGTGCTATGAGCTTTCTCTGATTTATGGTTCTTCTGCTCTATGTGTCTTCTGTGATTTTTGTGCTATCTGTGTTACTTGAGTCGGGGGTACCTTGGAAATAGTCTCCCTACTTTAGAGTAGGGGTGAGGTCCGCATAACATACCTCCCCCCGACCCTACTCTCGTGGGATCCAAGTGGGTTGTCGTTGTTGTTGTTGTGGTAATCTTTCTCTCCTCTGCATAACTTTCAACCACATAGTTTTACTTATCTTAAACTTTGTGCGAAACCAGACCATGAACCTTTTTTGGGGCGGAGGAAGTATCTTTTTTACCCTTACAATTAATTTTCCACCAACCCCCAATTTCGACCTTAGATCTAATCTCTTCTCTTATAGTCTCATTCTAATCTCATCGGCTCCATCAACACCGTCTGTTTTGTCTCTTCTCTTCCTCTAGACTCAATCATATCTCTCTTCTTTGAATCGCATCTTCTCTTATTTTAATCCTAAATTTTCTTCTAGATCTTCAACTCCTCTTCTAAATCTAATCGTTTCTCTCTCCCTGAACTATATAGTCGCCAGAACTCCAATTGTGGCAACTCCTCTTCTAGTCGACCGAACATCAATTGCGGCAATGGCAGAACTCCAGTTGCAGCAAAAACTGATCTGGAAGGGACTGATGTAGCACGTAGCGGAGCACGGGCTGGAGGAGCATTATGCACGGTGGTACTGATGTAGTGTAGTGCCTGGTGAAGCCGCTAGTGCAGTGGCTGGAGGAGCAGGCAGCGACCTAGGTACAACAACTCCATGGTGCAGTGGCTAGAAACATAGGAGATGTGAAAGAAGAAGATGTCTCAAAGTTGATTATTTATCTAGACAATGTTGACATAGCCACTTACAACGCGTCCAGATAGGATCTCGGATAAAGTGACAATCAACTTCAATGTTTTTGGTCCTCCCATTGTTTACTGGCTTTGAAGCAATGTGTATTGGTTATGGCACATTAGCTGTTCTGGTTCTTTGCTCTCATATCTTAATTCTTGGAGGAGGTGTTTGAGCCATAAGATCTCACTTGATCCAGCAACTAGGAACCGCGTATTCTTTCTTGCTCATCTAAGAAATAAGGTTTCAATTAAAGATCCAATACCCAAATTTGGAACATATATCTATTGCACAATCAGCCCAGTTAGCACCAAAAGATCCAAATCTACTGTTATGTCATTTGTCTTCATAGTGTAGTCTTTAGCCTCGTATTTACGTGATGTGCCCTAAAACTTGTATAGTAGCATCCCAATTATCATTACATGGTTTATCAGATACTTGACTGAGTACACATCCTGTAAATGAAATGTATGGCCATGTAACTGTGAATTAATTCAATTCTCCAAATGAGGCATTAGTATTCTCGCTGTCATGGGACGGCTCCTCCTGCCACGGATGGAGTTTGACATTCAAATCTGTGTGTCCACTGGTCTACAACCCAACAAAACATGTTCCCTTAAGAATATCCATAGCATATTGGCAGTCTCATCACAACATTAAGAAATCTCGATGCTTAGAGTATCACGACTTTCCCAAGTTTGTATTTAGAATTTGCTAAATAAATATTCTTCGAGCTTGTAATGCCTTTAGATCACTACCTGTAATGACTATGTCATCAGCATACACTGCAAGATACATGCACTTGTTACATATAGAATGTCGCTAGAATTCAGAACACTCAAAGATTACTCTTAGTAAATCCACAACTGTACTAAGCTGTCCAAACTAAGAATGCAACAGATTTTATACCATATAAGGAGCAGCGTAATCTACACACCAGACCAGACTTCCCCGCGCAACAAAAACTAGTGGTTGCCCTCTACGTAAACTTCCTCGTTGAGATCCCCGTGGAGGAAAGCCGTATTTATATCCAATCGGAACAAAGGATTATGACTTCTGGAAATAGGGCTGTAAACGGATAGCCGAAAATCCGATTACCGTCCGCATCCGTATCCGTTTAAAGAGGAAATATCCGCATCCATTTTAAACGGATATTATCCGTATCCGGTTAAGGATATCCGATTACTAAACGGATACGAATTTGGTAATTGTATATCCGATCCGTTCAAAATCTGATCCGCATATGCATCCGTTTAAATAACCGTTTATCCTAATATCTGATCCGTTATATATAGTTTATATTTTGTTTCTCTATTGATATTTCAAAATATAAGACATTTTTAAATACAAAATAATTGTGTACGCATAAAAATATATACAAACATATAAAAATATGTGTATATATGTGTTGTGTATATCTTTTTATCATATAAAGTTATCGTAGAATATCAAAAATCATGAAAACAAAGAAAATAATTATCTCATAACAAATTATAGTTGATTTAATAATAGTTTGACTTTAATCTAATTTAAAAATAAAGTATTTTTTAATTTGATTTTAAAAATTGGAAACAGATACGGATATATCTGATATCCGACTGATATCTGACGGATGCGGATACGGTTTTGATTTTCAGTATCCATCAAGATCCGTATCCGAATTCGATATCCAACAAAAATAAACGGATGCGGATTTGGTAATGGCACATCCGATCCGAATATCCGATTAATATCCGTTTACACCCCTATCTGGAAACAACAACAACCCAGTATATTCCCAACTCCATTGAGGTTGGGGGTCAGGATGTAAGTAGTCTTTACCCCTGTGAAAACAGAGATGATGTTTCTGACTTTCTGTTAGATCCTAAATGCATTATTGCATTTACTTCCCAAAACTTCTAAGAGAGTAAGAAGCAAGGGAAGTTTAATGTGTCATCTAGATGTAATCTATTATGTGCCTAGAGACTAAACGTTGTCAACGAAGACTGTTTAGCTCCATTAGCAATGGATAGTAAGTGACTTATGGTGGTCATGGATAAAAAAACATGAAATCTTAGTAACATTTAAAGAAAGAAACTGTCTGTATAATCAAGGCTACATATCAAGGTGAACCCTTAAGCCACCAGACATACGATGAAGCCACCAGGACAAACCTCACACACCTACACTTTTTACATTTATTGACATCAAACAACCAGCTTCTTAAGAGAAAGAGGAACTAATTCCCACATCCCACTAGAATGTTGAGCCTCGGCCTTGTGTTTGACATAGCCTTGCACCACACTAGTTGAGCAAGAACTTCATGGATGCTTGAGGAAATAAATTAAATGTAGAGTAAGGTATGGAGAGATGTTGATAGTAAACAAAAGTACATATGAGGGAAGTGTTGACATTGGATCGTAAACCTTTCCACATGGCAATGGGTCGATGTAGATCATCGGTATGCTTGGACTTGATGGTAGCCAACTGTCGTGATGTCATTTACGTAGCAAGGAAATTTCAGACACGTCAAAACTAATCTGCGTAGGCGTGGGCCGTAAGAGTGCAGGCGAACCTAGAAAACCTCTGGAGGACAATCAGATTTGGAGGCAACAGTAGGAGACAACCTCAGGATTGGAGTTGAGTTGTATGTCTGATTTTATTTCAAATGGTATATCAGGTAGAACAATAGGAGTTATAGGTAATGAGGGGATGGAGATAGAGAACAAAGTCAGCAAGAGGAGAGGTATTCGACTTAGGAGGTGTGTAGTAAAATGAGGGCATAAAAAAGGTTAGATCAGTTAACACAAAATAATGCCTCAACGCCGGAGAATAGAAACGATCTCCCTTTCGAAGTTGTGAATATCCATTAAAGACACATATGAGACAGTTTGGGAATTACCTATTGCACCCAAGTATATAGTGTGGTAAAGGGAATGACTGAGACGTACAGAAAAAGGACAAAATATGGACCTTGTCATTAAGAACGCATTCAATTAAAGAGATGAAGAGCATTGAGGGAACACATTCGACTACTGAAAAGCCGAACAGTGAGAATAGCTCCACCTGTTCACCCCAATATCATGGTATTTTGTGTGTAAAAGCTGTGTACATGTGGTATCCACTACATGGTGATTATTCCATGCAACAACCTTGTTTTGTTGAGGTGTCCGGAAGATCGATGGAGCATCTGACACGTAAAAATAAATTTATTGTATGGGTCGGTAAAAAATTGTCATTATCATTGCTTGCTAAAATTGAAGATGCCTAGATGATGCCATCGTGACATAATCAATGATCAAAACACACTTAAAAAACTATTATAAAAGCTAGTCTGAAAGCAAGTCATACTTTCATTTTTCACGCATCTCATTATTGCCAAGTGCAACAATTGTACAATGTTCTAAAGTCATACAATGATATTCAAGACCTCTCACTAATCATTATGCTTATGAGCATTGCGGAGATCATATCCCAATGACAAATGAAGAGTTTTTATGTCCTGATCCAGCTTTGGCTCACCACACCAAGGGCATGCCAACAGCCTCCAATTCAAAAAATCTATTTGCAAACAGCTATGGTATATTGGTATCAATGACTTCACAATGGAACCTCATATCTTTGTGTGCATGTCAAACATTTTAACCCACACCAAGTGGAAGACACTATAATCATGAAAAAACTAGTAGAATTCACATTTATAGATGTTCAAAAAGACTAACCAGGGGAAACACACACACACATGCACACACAAAAACAGTATCAAGAAGCAATCTGAGCTTACTCCTCTTTCTGTTGATGAGTAAACACAAGCAAAGGAGCTTCTTCACTGCTCTTCCGCAAACGATAAGCAATAAGTCGATCATCATCTCTGATTAAGGATAATGGATCAGATGGTGACTCCCCAAGAAAGCTTATAATACGACTGTTGAAAACCTGTTGATCCTAGTTAGTCTAATATTTGATATAACTAACTCTGGAAAATCAAAATCATTAAATAAAACTTATGGTAATTATAAGAGAAGAAAATTTATAATATAATACCTCAGCCACCAAAAAAGTCTCTTCGGCCCCTAAGGAGCATGCAGTGCTCAAACTGTGAATAAGATCAGTATATTTACCATCCTTGGGGACATTAACTGTAACAACAGATGGATGCATATCGCCATCACTTTTCATAATGGATAAAGTCATGGACCGCATTGATGTTGATGGTAGAGGTAGTGACAAATACATGAAAGGATCAAAAGTGATGGAGATCTTAGAGCAATCAGGACAGACTAATTTTGAGCGATATTGACCCTGCAGAAATAATTGTCATATTTGATCAATAGTATTTGGGTTCAAAATCCCTTGAGTTGGGTGGGATATGATCATGAGAACAATTTCACACTAAAATAAATATTAAGGTATGTGCTGAGGTTTGAGGCATTGATCTTAGTGGAGGAAAGAGAAATACAGCCTTTTTGCACATTCTCACCTGGCATACATCAACAATAATGGAATCGTTACGAGCCCGATGATTCTTCCAATATTCATCAGCTACTTCTTTATCCGGACGGCCATCTCCATCTTTAGCTTCAACATACGGTTTGCACTTCACACGGTTCAAATCTTCATGAAGTCCATCCAACAGGAAAGCAAGGAGCTCCTGTGGAGAAAAATACATGTCATATCCTACATGTGGGCTCTTTGTAAGCAGCGTCACTAGATTCAAGTAGGGCTAAGGACTGCATACACACCCCCTCCCCAGACCCTACTTTTGTGGGATTCAACTGGTTGGTTGTTGTTAATACTAATTTACAGTTTCACATGCATGGAGACTACCAGCTATTGATGAATAAATTACTCACATGCAATCAACAATACAACAAATGTCTAAGACTAACCTGAGAATCGTGTTGGCTAAAACCACTGAATTGAGGAGCAAAATGAGAAAGTTTTAATTTGAATGTTCTTGGTGCCACAGGAGTTGCTCCAGGAGTCCATAATTGCTTCAAAAGATCTCCAAACGCTGATGCAATCTCACCCTGTATAGTGATTGGTATAGTGAAAATTGCAGTGAGAAAACCATCACAAATTTACAAAAGAAAAATAACAAGATATTTGAAGCAACAGGTTGCAACATACATTCATACCCAAGGGGTTGTTGGTATTTATTTCTGCTTTATAATCTCCAAGAAAGTAATCAACAAGCTTTGGTGTGTGCGCAAGGCATTGGAGAGCACTGTTCATGAAACAGGTGTTCCCTAGGTTTTGCAATCCAGTCAAGCCTAATATACCATTTTCACACGACCTTCGTACGAGACTAGATGTGAAACTGCTGGCACTACCATTCATCATATATGACGTTCCGTTGGAATATTGTGTGCCCATTTCATTTTTCTTTGCCCTATTTCTGACCGAGTCAGATAACCCATAGACTTGCAACTCAAGGAGCATCTGTTAAAAGGCAAACATTAAACAGAAGATATAAACATAGATCGTATACTGAACATTTAAAGATGAATAAATATGCAACATCACACCCTAGGAAATGAAATAGCTCCCTCATCAAACCCAAATAAGCATCATATACAGCTGTATAAATCCAAAACATATCCCTATCATAGTATCATCATAAGTAGCTATCATAAGAAATATAAGTCGCTCAATGGAGATATTAGAATATAAAAGAGAAAATCTAGAAGAAAAAAAAATTGATTGTAGGTTACATGAAAACGTAGCATTTCTCAACCATGAAATAGAACTAAAGTATACTAGTGCATGTAGGGCTGTTTGTTGACTTTGTTCATACTATGTGCTAACAGAGTAAATACTTGCAGATATGTGAAAAACAATTCAGAATAATGTGAATTGCATGAAATTTGTAATCAAGGACAGTGTGGTTTCTTGCATTCAGGAATCAAATTTCAACAACATATAAAGCATAACATTTAGCAGTTCTGGACATAACATAAAAAATAAGTCTGCACCTCTTGCTCTAACTGTCTAGGAGAGTCCTTTGGGTCTTTCTCATTTGGGAAAAAAGAGGCAGTTTGTCCTGAAAAATCCCATATCCGAATCTGTTGGAGAAGAAAGAACCTATTAAAACACAAACTGGGATATCATGTAAAGTGATATACACATCAATGCACTTACTGGATCTGTCTCAAAACTGAAAATCTTACAGGCTCTTTTATGGGATTCAGCTGCATTCTCCTAAACATAAAACAAGACATAAAAGTATATCAAGAAAACCATAAAGTAAGAAGGCTTCATGAGTAAATCATATGATACAAAAGGTGATCCTCATTTAAGATATGATGCCTTCATTAAAATAATCCAATAAATTTACCATGTAGATGTGGAGCAATGTAATTCAAACATCAAATTTCAAAATCAATGCTCCTTATTGTTGAAAGTTCCAATTGGATACTAATGCCTGCTAGATTTAATTGGGTTTGTTCACATATAACCGAATGGGTAATAAGTCAATGCTTGGGTCAGTTAGTATGGTGTCGTTTAGTGTGTTTTACATATTTAATTAATTTTAAAAACAGTTATGGGTAGTTACTAATAAATAATAGGTGTGTTGGTCCGTAATAGGTGTGTTGGTTTGTAAAAGTTGTGTTAGTTTGTTCTCTATTTATATTCAAGAACACAAATAACCCTGTACAAGTTCACAACAATAAAATACTTTGTTTTGCTTTGATCCAAACTTGTCTACCAATTGGTATAGGAGCGGTGTGAATTGCGATCAGGGGGTGTACGATCTACCACAAAAGGGATCCGCCAGAGCATTTCAACTTCCTCGACAACAGATCAGAAATCTTTGACCAGATTTCCTCCACGCCTAGAAAAAGAACATCAGGTTGCTAATTTTTTTTCTTCGGCAGAAGAATTCCAACCAAAAGGCGCGGGAAAAACGAATCAGCGGGGTAGCTTTCGTTTAGAGGCTTGGAAGACGGAAAAGCAGGGGCTTGTCTTCTGGTTAATGGTCGATCGCAGGTGGCTTACGACCCGGGAAGGATTCGAAGTCTAAGAAGTTTGCGAAAATTGTCGAAGGAATACAAGTCCTGGAATGGAAGACAACCAAAAATAGACAGATTGTGACTACAAGGGAGAATAGATAATAGTTTGCCAACCTTAACACAATGCCGTCTCAGGAAGCAGTTGGAAGATTGAAAGCATTTGAGAAACGCATACTGAGGAAGGAGATACGCATGGTAAACTACTATTCACCAAAGGTGATGAAAAAGAGAAGGTTAAGGAGCACAAATGTGAGCATTGTGGTTGTTGGAGCTCAAAATAAGAAGAGACTTTGGACGTGGCCGAGGTAGTGGTCGGGGGTCCGGGAAAGGTCAGGATGGTGGTCAGTTTCAGCGGGATAAGAGTTGCATTAGGTGTTTCACATTAGGGGCGTGATTGTTAGATTTAATCGGATTTGTTCACATATGACCAAGTGGGTAATGAGTCAATGTTTGGGTCAGTTGGTATGGTGTCGTTTAGTGTGTTTTACATATTTAATTAATTAAAAAAACAGTTATGGGTAGTTTCTAATAATAAGTGTGTTGGTCTGTAATAGGTGTGTTGGTTTGTAAAAGTTGTCAGTTTGTTCTCTATTTATATTCAAGAACACAAATAATCCTGTACAAGTTCGCAACAATAAAATACTCTGTTTTGCTTTGATCCGATCATGTCTAACAATGCCAACTGACAGTTTCAAGATCTTTTTTGTGTATACTTTTTTATTTGGATTCATGCACCCCAGCATGAATACTGGGCCTAGACAGGGGGTATCAGGCCCATTGAAGATGATTCAGAGCCCAAGAATGACAACCAGTACAGCAACCCATACTCGACATCTTCCTGTAGGTCACGTGGTCGTCCTTGTCCTCGTGGGATATGGAGTTGGGCATTCAATCTCTTGGGGTTTGGGCATCGTCCAAGTACAGTGTACTCAGCCTCGGCCTTAGTGCTGTCGTGAGGACTTAGCATAGAGCCCCTTGGGTAGGAGGTAGAGGGGACTGGTCCAGCCTGTTGGGCCGGCCCGTTAACGTGATGTATTATTATCTTGGGCCTGCGCGCCAAGTTTTTTACTTTATAAATATCCCTCCCCAGGCTGTGAGGAGTGAGATTCTAATTCCGATTATGATCCTATCATTTTCACTACTTTCTCTCTCTAGATATTCTCTCTTACTACTTGATGAGACTGTTGTTCCAATAAAGAGCCCTGAAATTATTATTAATATACAGCATTTACTAGGCATCAATGTCATGTGTCTATCAAATTATGTTACAATTTCTTCAGAGAACTGAGAAGTAACAAGGGCATAACTCATTGCTAACCATAAATCAAATAAATCCTGAGAAGTATCTCGCAACCTTTTTGTTTATCTTAACTCCCAATGAGCTTCCATCTTGCAAGCAAGCAAGTCTCAATTGTAAGGGGTACACATCCGTCATATCACATGCGGCTGATAAACATTTTCCATTCTTTTCTGAAGTTTTAGATTCACTGTGCCTACATACATATTGAAATGATATGATAAAGAGGCCAGAAAAAGGTAATAGCCATAGATATTCTAGAAGAAAACAATAAAATAACTGCCACCAAAATTGAAAGTGCAGATGTCTCCGTCAAAATTAGGCTAAAGATGATGATAAATCCCACACTATCAATAAAAATCTAGAGTGTAAAAAAGTAGTTCAGGGAGGAGAACTTAACAGCATGTGTTAAGTATATTTTCAGTTATGATGATAAAATCACAACTTCTTCGTGCAATAATGAGACATTAGCTGTATAAAGAGAATTATTTACAAGATAGAAGATACAAATGACTAACTTTCTGGAACTCCAGAAGAAACATATACTTCTTCCGTCCTTCTAGATTATTTACACACAGGTCATCAAACAATATCTTCTTTCTCTACATATTTTCATCCGTCATTTGATAAATTATTTTAATGAGCAAAATTTAAAATTTTGAAGGTTGTGTCTAAAGATACTTACCACTTGAGTGCCTGAATCCACATGTCACCCGAGACCAATGCATAATCACTCCCTGACACCCCAACTTCTCCATTTTCGTGATTTTGCAATGAAGAAGTATCCCCCCTCTTTAAATTAAAAGAAACATCTGCTGAACTGAAAAAATTGTTAATTATCTTCATTGGCCCTCCATAAGATGGGGAAGGTGCCGCTAGATACAAAGCCCCCTTTTTCCCATCCGCCAAACCCGAGTCTAGTGCCTCCTTCCACCACCTACAATACACAAAATGTCAAGATGTGGCATCCAAGTGTGTGAATCCAACCAACACCTCATGAACAGATCGATGTTTAGTACAAACAATAGATATAATCAGTTACAATGTCACATAGCACAAATCCCACCCTTAAGAAAAAAGACACATTCCATAAATTATGCAGCTTCTTTAAGATATTTGGAGTAACAACAGAAACCTGATCAAATCAATTTGAGACAGTGGGAAGCCAAAACCTTATCAAATTGCAATGTTCCAAAATTAACAGTGGGGCACGCAAGAAGACAAATACATACGTGTTCGCGAACAAGCAACATTTCTATGTAGACATTAATTGTTAAGAAGTTGTTTCCAATTCAAAATAAAATATAATTTAGATTGCATTCTAATGAATCTGAAAGGTGGAGAATCTCAAATCAATCCGAGGCTTGGAATTAATAACAAAAATAAATAAGATCACCGTTGTCATTTCCTCCAAAATCTCATTCATCCTTCCTTTTTTTATTGATTGATTGATTGATTGGGTAATTTATTTAGTATATGTTACAGTATTTCTATTAGTGAAGTGCCAGTTGAATGGGGAATGTGTCAACGAAAATAGAAAATGGGGTACCTGAAAGGAACGAAGTAGACTTGCTGGCCATCATTGCCATTTGATTCGGTTTGTTGTTGCGTTGGTTGCTCCGAGGAATCCTCGGATGGGTTGTCCATTTCCGAGATGTAGACGGAGAAGGATCCCAGTTGTAGAGAGAGAAACGGGGTCTCAGAAATGGCGGAAGAGATTTGGAAGCAGAAAAAGTTGCAGAGAAAGAGAGAGATAAAGGGGGGAGAGCCGGAGATGGAGGGGCAGATTTGCAGAGAAACAAGTGAAGCTCTTTCCTAATTTACTTAACAAGATGAAATTACATTAAATGAGATTTAAATTTTAAACAATAAAGGGAAATTGTCATACAGCACAATAATGTGTAAAATAGGTTGCATAAATTAGAAAATTACATTCAAATAATGAAATTTCTATAATTATGCTTTGCTTGCTTGGTAGGAAACTAGGAATATACTTTGGATTTTGGAAAAGGTGCGGGGTAGGATATAAGGACTAGAAGCTACGCCTCTCCTTTTTATTAAGGGCAATGCTAGAGGTATACCAACATGAGGTACCCTAAGTGTACACCAAAACCAACACAGACACACACAGACACAAAGTGTCTGTGCAACACATACACTTTGTGTCTGTGTGTATCTGTGTTAGCTTTGGTGTTGGAGTACCCCATGTTGGTGTACCCCTAGCTTAATTCTTTTATTAATTGAGTATTGGGAGTATTTTAAGGCAAGAAAAATGATAGGATGTATCACATTTGTCTTACACCCCCTCCATTACCACATAAATGGGCTAAAGTTTTAAAAAAAATTAAATAATTAAAAAATAGATAAAAATGGGTGGTGGAGAAGAGGGTGTGGGACAAATGGGGTACACCTTTGGTGTGTACCCCTAACATTGCTCTTAAGGCAAGGTTCCGTTGGGCAAATAAGCAAATTATATGGTACATCCAGCTATACCTTCCTTTAGGTACATTCTGATATTTTTTGTAAATTTTATAAATTTTTTATCCAATGCCCAAAACATATATTAGAACTATTATATATGACAATGAGTACCAGCAGATTTGAGGAGTACCATCACTTATGAGAATTATCATATTCTTGTTGAATATAAACATGAATAAACCTAGGTTTTAAATTCTCCATGCTCAGAGAGCATAAATGAGTAGGATCGAATCAAATAGAGGAAGAAGTTGATGATGGTACTGAACTTTTTAATTGTGAAAAAATTGAACAATACTTTATTTCAGAAAAAACATTTCCTTACTTGAGAATGAGTATTGTTTTTTTAAGAATGAACACTACGCTATTTATTACTCCTGGCAAAGGAGTATAATTATATTAGACAAATGTGTAAAAATGAGTACTTCTTTATTTTAAAATGAGTACTACCTTTGCCAGAATGAGTATTACGTATTTCAAAATGAATGTTTATATTTGTACGAAAATGAGTACTACTTTATTTCAGAATGAGTACTACCGGGATGTACATATTTCTAGGTATATCCGGATGTACCATATACCAATTCGGTTCCGTTGACACTCATTTTTAGTGTCAACGGATACACTCACTCATTTGAAGTTGTTTTGTTGCTCCACTTACAAAATTAATTGTTTTTACCGCCCTAACCCCCTCCCTACAACTCCCACCGGACCACTACCTCAGCCTGACCCCTACGCCCCCACCCTAGACCCCCTTTTACCCTTCCATATGTGTGGTTATTGTATAATGCATAATAGTCGCGCATTTAGAGGAACTTAGGCTAGGACTGGGAAGGGAGCGGAGGGTTTAGATGTGAGTTAGGAAGTATAAACTATCAATTTTGCGAATAGGGTATCGGAAGTGCTTCAAAAATGCAGTGGCACCACTAGTAGAAATTTTTGGCATGTGTTAAAAAACTGTACTTTTTAATTTTTCATCTTAAACTCTAACTAAACACTTGTACAAAAATAGACAATACAACAGGAAAATTAAAGAAAATCCAAAATAATCTCAATTTTACTTGGTTTTTAAAAATAAAAACATTTTTCACTATGATGCATAACAATCCAAATTTTACTGAAATTTGTAAGTTTTGGGTCATTGTTAAGATGCTAACAACGGGTTAACGAGAATCTTCTGTTTAGTACAACAAAATGAAAGTTGAAATTATTTCTAATGAATTTTTGTTTTTAATTTTTTTTTTTTGAAAATTTCCTTTAAATTTTTAAAATGAGTTTCTACCTCATCATTTCTTTTTCTTTTTTTAAATACATTCAAAAAATTTAAAAAAAACATAGATATAAAAATAACAAAAATCAGAAAAATAACTAAAATCATACAAAATTTAAAACAAATAAATAAGGTAATCAATATAAACTAATCTAAAACTAGTAAGAAATAAAATAAAAATATACATAGTGGTGGATTCTAACATTTTACGCACTATACAGAAAATTAATATACTACGTCTTTTCTTGTTTTTTATTTTCATTTTTTACCAATAGGAGGAAGTAATACATTAATACTTCGTATAATGTCTAAAACGTTAGAACTCACCATTTTGTATATTTTTAGTTTTATTTCTTATCAGTTTGAGGTTAATTTTTAATGATTATTTTTTATTTCATTAATTTTTTATGATTTAGTTGTTTTTCTCATTTCTGTTATTTTTTATATTTTTAATTTAAGGATAATCTTTAAAAAAGAAAAAGAAATGGAAGCTTAATGGTGATCCAAAATTTGTAAATTTCTTAAAAATTTAAAAGAATTTTTTTAAAAATTAAAGTAAAAATGAAAATAAATAAAAAATAATCTCATTGTTCATTTTGTTGCACAAAACATGCTTGTGTTAACTAGTTGTTAGCAGCTTAACGGTGATCCAAAATTTGTAAATTTCTGCAAAATTAGAATTATTATGATCACAGTAAAAGATGAAATTATTTTTGAAAGAATAAATAAGTGAGGATTATTGTAGATAATGTTTTCTAAGATTAACCCAATGCTTCAAATGCTCCTCCTGCCCATTGCGAAGTAACGGGATTGAGTATACGTTGCATGACTCCTATAATCCTATATTTAAAACATAGAGCAACATTTTTTACATGACTTTCAAAGCAGCACCAACTCTAAGTCCAACAGCCTTGCTTTCACCGAGAAACCAACATTAGTTGTTTGATCGAAAAGGCAAAATCTAAAAAGTCAAGGGAAATAGCTTTAGAAAAACTAATTTTTTATCATACTTCTTTATAGATATCCATTAATATATGTAAATAAAATAAATCTAAAAGTTAAAAAATATTAAAAATAAAAAATTACGGAGTATATTTTAAAATTAAATTTAAAAAGGAAAAATTTAAAATTACGAATTAAAATTTAAAAATAGAAAATAAAATAAAAGAAATGAGAAAGCAAAAACTCAAAAAATAGAAAAAATGGGAAAAATTACTCGTTATTGATGCCTTTTCATTTAACTATCTCATTGCACGATATAAAAAAAGTGGTATTATTAGTATCTTATGAATTATATGAAATTATAATTTAATATATTTAAGATTTTACTTTTACACAAACAAAAATTAAAACAAATTTTGTATTTATTTTGTTATATAATATGTATGTATGTAATCTATGTGTGTATGTATGCATGCATATACATACATACATACAATATATATATATATATATGTGTGTGTGTGTGTGTGTAATTCAAAATAATTAATTTTACCAAATATTTTTTAACAATCAGCTAACACATATTGTCTGTTAAACTAGCATAATTATACAGTCATTCAAAACAACTGACACAACTAATAGCTGACATCCATCTTCCAAACAAGACCATTGTACAGGTTGCTTATGTGACTATCCCCAACCGAGACCAATCGAATTGCTACCTTCTTTATCAGACCTAAACCCATACCCAAATTGAAAAGCACGACGGCCGAGGTTGCATGGCCAAGGTCGGACGTTACCCCCTTCCACCACCGTAGATCATAAAGCCCAATTACATATACTGTCACAAAGCAATAATACTATAATTTTAGAAAGAAATTGCGGAGTAATAGATAGCATACTAAGACTTGTATTTTGGTCCTCGCGTGGTAGATATCTTTAATCCATACAAATTTAATACTCCCTCCGTCCAAAATTATAATGTTTGTTCACTATTCACATAATCAAATTTCATTCACTTTCTTTCTCTATTTTCGTTAGCAATTTGATAAAATAGAATACTATTGTCATTACTAGTTTTGTAGATCTTTTGATATAGTATTTTAATATGTAATTTTTACTACCTCCGTCCCACTCTCTTTATCCACTTTTGACTTTTGGAACTGTTCATCTAAGCACTTTGACTCATCAAATTCTCTCAATGTGTAAGCCTAAATATAGTCATGTGTGATCTTATTTGATTTGTCTTAACATATAGATTATTAATATATAATTTCTATAATTTTTTAATATACAAATTACAAGATAAAGTGGATTAAAGAAGTGCATTGGATGGTGTGCCAAAAGGTAAGTGGACAAAGAGAGTGGGACGGAGGGAGTATTTCTTAACTTTATACCATTTGTCATATAAAATGATTTGAAAATAATTTCAGTCAAACATCGTAAACCGAAACAGGCACTATAAATTGGGACAAAGGGAGTAACTTAGTGCAATATCACAAATAAAAAATTATGTAGTACCTACATATTTTCTTCAATTAGCGTAGAAGTGGAATTTTGTGCATAGTACTTGCAGAGGCATGGTTGCCCTCATAGCAACTAGACCTGGCAAAACTGACCCGGACCCGATAACCCGAACCGAATAACCCGGAACCGAACCCGATTTGACCCGAAAACTGAAGAACCGAAATAGAACCGAACACCCGAAATGATCTGAACCGAACCGAACCCGAACCGAATGTATTCAGACCCGATTCAGACCAGAATCCGATTAAACCCGAACCGATTAAACCCGAACCGATTAAACCCGAACCCGATTAAACCCGAACCCGGTTAAACCCGAACCCGGATAAACCCGGAACCGATTAGACCCGGAACCGATTAGACCCGAAACCGATTAGACCCGAAATTGATCAAATTCATTATTATTTCATTTATCAAATGAATTTGGAAAAAAAGAATTACCTATATATTTTTACATATGTTGATATGTTTCTAAAAAAACATATTTAAATTATGAGTGCAAACCATGTAACTACTTTCATGTACAAATCTTTTATTTTGTACTCCGTATTTTATAATCTAAGTTAAAATATATTTGTATTTTTATAGAAAGTATATAAAAATTATAGTTACATTGTAATACATATTTTATGTAAAGAATTATGTTACCAAAGTTGATTTTCTTTTTTTAATATGCCAATTAACACACTATAAAAAATACTTGAGCATAAAAATGAAGAAAGGTGTCACAATCATGTGGTAAAAACTTATGATTATGTAAATGAATAAAACAAGCTAACTGACATTACCTAGTATAAGCTAAATAAAAGATTTCTTCTCCAAAAATTATGAATGAGTAAAAAAATATTNAAATCTTGATTTTCGTGGATACACTATCCAACAAACAAAATACAGCATTCTAGTGACAATTTAGAACCAAATTGTTATCCAAATATTATTCATTTATTAGTATGTGTTTACATTATATTTGAACTAATATAAATTTAAACCGATATAAACTCAAATCAATACAAAGCCGAACTGATACAAACCCAAACCGATACAAACCCGAACCGATACAAACCCGAACCGATACAAACCCGAACCGATACAGACCCGAACCGATATAAACCCGAACCGAAACCGAACCGAAACCGAAAAGCAGTCAAACCGAAATAAACCCGGAACCGAACTGACCCGACCCGACCCGAACCGATTATAACATATATCCGAAAGAGACCCGAACCGAAAAGACCCGACCCGGACCCGAACCAATTGACCCGATTGCCAGGTCTAATAGCAACCACCAGACTTCGAACTCTGGATCTCTCATGTGTAGCACTCTTATGCCAATCACATCTCATGTGTAGCACTCTTATGCCAATCACAGAGCTACGCCTCACCGGCAATATAATCTATTTTGAATGGGTTTGAGACATTTCTAAACTTTCTCTTTTCGTTAGTTTTTAGGCCAAAACCAACCCTAAAGAAAATATAAAAGGCAGTCGCAAGTCAATGCGTAAACAAGGAGCGAATAGCTCATTTGGTTGGAATATCAAATGTAGTGTATGAGATCTTATGCTCAGTATCAAACTTGCTTACAAAATATTAATGAAAAAACTCTTTTCGAAAATGTATATAAAATATCATACAAAAGATTTGAACCAATGTTGTATTAGATAAGCAAATTGGGAGTGTAACAACCTTTGGGGTGAATATAAACACAACCTTTATCAAAAGATTTATGATGGGAAATTTATGATGTTGAAGAATAAAATAAGCCTGGAAACGTATATTTCTCATTTTCTGTGTAGCACATGGGTCTACGAGCCGTCTGTTTCACTTACACAAAACACAAGCTGGTGTGTGAAAGAGAGTATGATCGGACCGCCCGTTTTTTGTTCACACCGACAAAATCTGTCAGTTTTTTGTCTGTCAGTGTCTTTACAGACAAGTTCATCATGAAACCAAATGCTTGTCAGTGAACAAAAAATGGGCAGTGTGCTTGGTAGGTAGATCCCTAAGTGAGTGACACCATTTAAGCAAAAACAGAAGCAGGAAAAAGATAAACACATGGGGGAGAATTAAGTGCAAGAAGCTCTGAACTCCTGATTCTCCTGGACCATTGAAACACTACTAAAAGGTCCACTGACTGCATTAGAATACACATAGTTCAGCAAGATTCAGTAGTTAATACTCTGTAAGCAGCAAACTGGAAATGGAAAAAAAAAAACAGGCATTGAGGACAAATCAGTAGTAGCGTGAGCCACCTGTTCCGTAAGCACGGCCCCCGGCAGGGTAGTGGGCTCTACTAGATTCGTACCCATGATCTCTTCCGCTTCCAGTAAACCGACTTCTCTCTCTGTATGAGTCATATATATTATTGGCATTATTGTTGGTATTATTGTTGTTATTATAGGGTCGTTGTCGTTCTCCACTTGTAGGATACCCGTGAGGGTCCGAATGACATGCAGTGTTGGTGTTTGGATAATTATCCAATCCAACCTGTTCGTACTGCACAAGCCTTGACTGGGATTCCCTTCTAAGAGCATCCTCTCTGCGACCAGCATGCCGGGCTCTTAGGGCAACTAGCTGTTCTTCAAACTGAGCATTGATGGCATTTATTCGCTGAAAATAATTAGCAAGAATAAGATTGGTATACCAGCATTCCAAGTTTTAATTATTATTATTGTTGTTGTTGTTGTTATTATTATTATTATTATTATTATTCTTATTATTATTATTATTATTATTATTATTATTATTATTATTATTATTATTATTATTATTATTATTATTAAACTCTACTACACAACAACAACAACAACAACAACAACAACAACACTAGCCAGCCAGTGCCTCAAAGGCTCCTGTCCATTTTGGGGTAAGGGAGGCTGGATGTACGCAGCCTGGCCCCTATGTTTAAAACAAAGAGCGACTATTTCAAGATGACCCATGATGAGCGATGAAAGCTACATTGACTAGTTGCTACTTCACTATTGAAAGAAAGAAGCGCAGACAATTCAAAGAGCCATGTACACAGTATACTCTACTACATTGATAAGGGATGTAATAGAGAGGGAGTGACCAACTCCTAAATTTATTGTCGTTCTCAAATATAGGTTTATAAAAAAATAATTATACAAAAACGGGGTCGCATTAACAAGTCTTAGAAGTATTTGGCATAAAAGATACCAAGAAAGAGGGACACAAAGAGATGATGGGAATTTGAAATGAAAAGAGTTCTAATGGTATATAAGGCTAATATCTGCACCCAAGAAAAGGCTGACTATCTGCATCCACCGTTGTTACCCACCCTCAACTTGGTCAGTATAGGGCTAATATCACTAAGGCAGTGCATAATGATATGAACCGTGCGGGAGGGGGCATCATTATTCGCAAAACGGAAGGCCATCCTAAGACCAAGAGCTTCTACTCCATCGATACCGATTCAGTGCCTGCATCAGAACACGGTTCCCCCTGCCTCATGCAGCTACGACATTGACAAGATCTATCATAATGTGCCCGACAAATCCTGGCATTTCAAATACAGTGCTGCCAGAAGCCTGGTTACCTATGGTCTTGAACACCATTGTGACAGTGATACCGTCTCTCCATCATGCATCCTCGGGCTGACTGGCATTCTCAAGTACGATGGGAGAGGATGTGTAGCAGATGAGTGATTCCTGATGGCGGATGCTATTTGCGCTTTACAATTACAGATGAGCCATCTGCAGTGGCGACTGCAACCGGGACGGCGTTGACTGTGTGACGGGGATGATGGCAACTGTGTGAGGGAGACGACAGCGCTAATGCGTTGAGGATGGCGGCAAATGTGTGTGAGGGACGGCAGCCTTGCATGTAGGATGGGAATCAGAGCCGAACGAAAGAGTGGGGGTGGCTTCAAGAAATTGACATCGGGACAAAAACGTGGAAGTCAAATTTCAGATTTAGTGGCTCATTCTCCGTTTTGACTACTCATTTTCCTTTGACTTCACTCCCAAACGCCAGAAAATGGGGAAAATGACCATTTCCAAACGGACCCTTAGATTTAAGCCAATTCCACTTCCAAAATCAATTTTTTGCCCAACAAAATATTTGTTCCACATCCAAAATTTCAAATGAAATTCAGGTTCCCAAACAAACCATTAAAGTAAATCCATATCATAAGAGCTTATTAGCAGATTATGCTTGTGGATCAAATAAGAGCAAGTGTGGCACAATATTATTTGATCAGAGATTTCAAAAAGACAGAAGAGATTTACCAAAACGGGAGTATTAATAAGTACGTCGGGGATCCAATGACACTGGATCCCAGTGCCATCGGATGACACTGGATCAATTTGGGGCATAGTGATCCATTCGCAAAATTGATCCACACCCTCCATTCCCCCACCCCCCCTCCACGTCGATTAGATGTTGTAAGTACTGTCAGCATGAAAGGGAGGTGGTAGGAGCCCTCAATATTGCGAACGGAGCACCGTAAGTACCCTAAAAAGGCAGTGACACCGTAGTGTAGACCATATGCAATGTCAACAAAACTGCTCCCAAATAAGTAAATAAAATGAGAAGGTCAAAAGCTTTTTGCGTTTGGGATTCAGCTCCTCGCAAATATTAGCCTTCTCATGCATGATGACTAGAATGCATAATTCCTACATTCAACCGATGGAGAGAGGAGAATGATAAAAAAGCGAAGAATGAATGAATGTATGATCTTTCTCCTCTCTGCCACTTAGGGCCATCGGTTTCAAACACTGCCAAAAAACATAGCTGAAAGAGATTGACACAACAGAAGAGATTGACGCAACGGGGATAAGGTTTTGAGATACATGCTCTTTGCCAAATTGACTGGTTCCGTGGTGAATTTTGATTTTTTTTAAACCAGACGGTTTTTTTTAGAGGGACTGGCAAAAGAGTACATTTGTATACTCACACTTGGTTATATGGACCATAGTGAATTTGGCCATTTAGTGGAATGAAAGTGTGGGAAAAAAGCCAAAAAAAAACTCTAATAAGGGGAAAACAGACACGTGATTTGATTGAGAAAGGAATTTAGAAGAACTGGCAACATAGGATGGGGAGATAACATTACCTTAAGCAATGAGATGTACATGAAACTGGTGGGGTATCTTATATTCTAAATTTCTTAGCCAAAGACCTTGTGGTCCATCAGCATGATGGTGACTCTCTCATAAGAGAGGTCAGAGGTTCGACCCCAGTGAGGGTAATAACTCTACGTGCTTAATTGGTTAAGAATGTATGAACAAATACTACATTAGATTAGAGTTATTAGTGTTCAAAAAAATTGTATCTATCAATTTTTCTAGATATGTTTATATTAAAAAATAAATGGAAGCAGAAACTAACAAAGTTTGAGTTGGAACTAACCTCCCTATGCCTGGCATTTTCGGCATCCTCTGCATCATATTGCTCCTTACTCAGCTTCTTGATGTCGTTCATGAACTTCTGTTCAAGACCCTCCAGAGATGGTTGTGGCATGGGGTTATCTTCATAACCAATATCCATATCCTCTTCAATGGGCTGAGATCTGTGATCTTTGCCACCTTGGTTGTCTAATTGGGTCCTTGGATCTGTCCTTAAGCCCTGATAATAAGATCTTGATGCCTCAGCCCCTTTCCCTATAAAATGATTATGGTTAAATATGAGTGGCCATCCATTCCTACAATAAACTTGAAGCTTCAAGTGTGACACTCTCTCCATCCAATTTTATAAGTCACACAAATGCACAATTATGCTTACTTTCCTTTTCTACACTCCATTGATTGTCTACTTTCTCTAACCTACCTCTTATTGATTTGACATGTAAATCTATTTACATAACTTTCAAAAAAAAAGTACCTTCCTTTTAGAGTAAAAAACTGAATACATTAGCTCTCTAAAAAATCTATCTACACCCAAAAGTCTATTCTCTTCTCAAATAGGCAAAGCAAAACCTGTTCCACCAGTAATGTAGCCTCACATTCCCATGGCCCAAGCTGTTTTTTTCAAAGACTAAAAAACAAAATAACAAAATAATCATTCATAGAATCACTAGAGAAAATTCAGCAAAATAATTAGACTCCAAACAAAAGTTAACTAAGTATTTAGATTCCAATCTAAATTAAATTTTTAGATTAGACACTTAAAATGATTTTCTTCTGCACAGTATTTATTGATATAAACATTAAGTAAATTACATTTTCTGATTAAATAATCCTAACTTGAAGAGAATCTGGTTGTGCTAACGCTCTGTTATGGTTAACTAGAGTTATCTAGGACGGGGTGTTACGCAACATCAGCATGGGCTGCTGCCTTGTCATCTAGACATGTTCCCTTACAGTCGTTGAAGGTATGCTTATTTCCTTTCTGCCGTCTGGATGGACAGCCTTCTGCTGTGGAAATTTCTTTGATTTAGGATGTCATGGAGGATATATTATCTCTTGTCAGCAATGTGTGGTATCATGACCTTTATTAACATACTTGGGGCTTACAACCCCCATTGTTTCTGTCATTAATCATATAGAGCATTAGATCCACAACTTCTGCATGTAGTTTGTGCATCTAACAGCTCCCCTCGATATCATCTTACTACAGGGATGGACAAGTCATATCTGCACTTGGAAAAGGCTCCATGAAAAGCGCTTAGCTTTGTTGAGGGCTATAGATATAATCCCATCCATGGAGTTGTTGAAATAGTTTTTGCTCTTTATATCTGTTGAATGCATTAAAGAATGTTTCTTATCTCCAAAGTAGTGGGTTTGATATTAGGCAAAGAATTCATAGCATCAACCTCGTCCCAAAGACCATTTATCTTTGTAAAATACTTATTAATGGAGTCACCATTTTGTTTTAGGTCATAGACTTCTTTAGACATTTTGTACTTACGACTTCCATTGTTAAAAGAAATTCTATTTTTCAATAGTGTCCAAATCTCTTGAGCAGATCGCTAAGAGTACTTTAAATAGCCAAATATATATTGCATTAGTCAAGCAATTACTACATTATCGCAAGCCTCCCATTGATCAGCCAAATCATTGTCAGATGTGCACTTAGGTATCGCACCTGACAAAACCAAGCTTCTTCTTCAGAGCAAGAGCAATTTCCGTGCTCCGCTTCTAGGAGCGATAACTCCAAGCTCATGTGAGTTGTCACTTTGAGAGAAGCTGGTTCTTTCGATGGGTATAGATACAAAGGATGTTGTGTATCTACCATAGGAAAGACATTGTTGCGGTTATTTGAAGGCATTGATGTGGGAACTTGCAATTTGATCAAGAATATTTGAAGGAAGATAGCCGGAAACAAACGGTTGTTTGAAAAAGGTTTCTCGAACATTGCCACTTCGGTTTTCATAGGTTATAAATCATGGTCACTGTCATAAACTATCATACTAGTCAATCAACAATGTCACATTAAAATGTTATGCACACTCATCATTGTAGGCATGTAAGCACATGAACATGAGAAGGCCCTGAGGAGTAGACAATTAGGACTACTTATTCATCATAGGATTGAGCACAATTTGTAACGGTAACTTAGACAACCATATATCCTCAGATATTTACGTAAGAAGCAAATTTCATGACAGGGACCTAAGTACTTCCATGTACACATATTATCGTCAAAGGAACCATCAAGGCCTCACCTTCAGAACAAGTAAATGACTGTCGGTTTAGCCACACGAGAAAAAGTATAAGAATAATTAATGCCGTACGCCTAAGCATAGCCCTTTGCAACCAATCAAGCCTTAGCAACGAATCCATCCAGACTTACTTTACTGCAAACACCCACTTCGTAACCAAATCCCATACACCATTATGCTCAACAACATCCATTTCCACTACCATAGCACTGTGCCACTCAGGATGAGAGTCATGAGACAACACTTCCTTAATTGTCTTAGGGAGAGAAATGGATTCAAGGGATGCAATGAATGATCACGTGATGGGAGGCAGATGATCAAAGAAACACATGCAGATATAAGACAAGTACATGTCCAACAAATAGAACACGAACTAAGAACATGTGGAACACCAACAATGAGTTGATATTTAGTTCCTTGTTCATATTGATTTTGATAAACATGACCTGCTGTAGAAAGTGGAAACAAGTGGTTTCATTTCACTTAAGAAACAAAGCCCAAAGAACGTTGCTTAAACTACTTGTGTAGCTAAAGATGGGTTAAATATGCCCAAAGCATTCTACTCTAGTCAAGTAACAACTACATCTAGAAATACATACTCATACAACATTAACATATTGAAACAACCCAAATGGAAATCTGAAAATATTCAACAAAGACAAAAGATCACTATTAGTTACTCCCTCCGTTAAAACTCTTCATGTTTTGACTTTTTAGTCAAAGAGTGACACTCTTTGACCATAAATTAAACATAATCTAAATAAATAAATGTTACGAGGTATAAAAATTTGATATATCAAAACTATATCCTAAAATGAACCCAATTATATTGAATTTATATTATAATTCAATATACTTTTCTCACAATTTTTGGTCAAAGAGTTACTCTGTGACAAAAAAGCATCGAAACAGGAAGAGTTTTTAGGACCGGGATGGAGTATTAAACTTGCTAGCGAAGTTCCCTAGACGGGCATTCTATAGTGTGAAAAGAAAAATGTTTGTCCAATTCAACCAAAAGCATAAACGGGTGGTTAGACTTTAGAGACAGAATATATACTCTAAAACTTCCTATACTAAGGCCTTGTTGTTTTGGGTTGGAATTTTAGAGTTGGATGTTGGAAGAAATTAGGAGTTGGAAGAAACTAGAAGGAGTTGGAAAATGTTGGAAGAATTTAAGTTTTAAAAAGTCACTAAATTAAATTATCATCCAAATAAATATGTAAGAAAATCTAATTTTGGATAAAAAAATTCTTCATTGTCCGTGTTTGAGGTGATATGTTATAAATTTGGACATACAATGTTGTTTTATATTAATCATATATAAATACCTTTTTAAGTTGTTGTTGGAAGAAACTAGAAAGAGTTGGAAGAAACTGGAAGGAGTTGGAAGTTAAAAAGGGGCAGCTACTGGTGATCTTTATGTAAAAAGGCTCTAATACATTTCAGAGAATCAACTCAATTACTCAGCCAAAGAGAATCTTGGAAGCAAAGTAAAACAACATAAGGAAATTTAAATGACCACACATTCAAGACATTCAAATAGGATAAAAACATTGAAGTGCTGGAGTAGTGTAACAATTTTACTGGGAGGGGAAAAAATGACCTAATCAAGAAAGATAAAGATGATAAACATGCCTTCGGGAAACATGTTAGGAGACATAGCGTTGGTGGTCAGAGTGGGGCTCTCTCGCTCCCATCTCCATTGCTGCTGGTGTTCTTCGGGCATGGCGTGTTGGGCGTGATGCTGAATCTGGGAATATGCGTTGTCGGCGGAGGAATCTCCGGCGCTGCCGTAATGTCCTCCTCCCCGTTTCATCTTCTGAATAATAAGTCTATACTATGCACGTCAGCACAAATCTCTTCAGCGATTGACAAAAAGTGCTGTATTACTCCTATCTTGAAGCTATTGCTGCTAGATGGAGAGGTTCTTAATTCTGTTTTTGCTTTTCCAATAGGATTAAGCTACTCAAGATTTGTGGCCCTTATGGCCCTATATTTTGTATAGGTATAATGTCAGGGTAATATTCACCGACACAAAATGTTAGTATATATTTTTGTTAATACATTAGCATTTTGTGTTAATGTAAATGTGAACTATCAAAATGTTAGTATATATTTTTGCTAACGCATCAACATTTTGTGTTAATGTGAATTATCAAAATGTTTTTGTATATCTTTGGTGTAACTTTAGAATACACTTTTTGAGATAAGTATAGCATGGTTGCAGTGTGCACCCGTGCTATGGTAATTAGAAAAGAATCTACAAATACTCATTTTTTCACGGTAATTCTATGGCTGACCTTTACAAGATCAGGAGATCATTCTACAAGATTAAACTAACAACTTACCAAATATAGTTGTGTTTTTTGTAATTAGGGTTGTATTTTATTTGCTTTTGGATTTTTGAATTCTGTATTTTAAATTTTGGGTTTTTGAACAAGTAGCAATCTCACATGCAAGTATACTCTAATATAGGTAAGGATTAGTTATTACTTATCATTGTAGTTAAACATCACACACTTGTGTCGTACACACACACATAGCCAAGCAAAAGTTATGGGCACACAGAAAGTAACTCAGGTGCAGCAACATCACCACATCACACACAGGGGTAGCACATTGAAGGTAAAGCATCAAAAAACCCATGTTATATATTTGGCTAATTTGTCTAAATAGAACTAAAACATAATGACTTTCTTAATATAAGACTATATATTTTTATTTCTTAATATAAGACCTTTGGTCATTATTCATTAGTCATTATTTATGTAAATGTTTACCATCACTAGACATTATTCCCTCCCACTAGACATTATTAAGTACCATTTAGGGAATAAAAAAGTTTAAGTCCTACATAAGGAAATGACTTATATTTTAGTCCTATTTAGTGTAAATTTCACTAATAAAAATCCCAGCCAAGGGCTCGGCCCCTTGGACGCAGCCGCCCCTTGAACCCTGCTCGAGGGCGCTGCCCCCGAACCCCCCCGCCAAGGGGTGTTGCCCCCTTGGAATCCTCGTTAAAACATGACTTTTATCATAACTAACTCAACGAAGTGGGCACTCTGCACCATCAAGCTTCTTTGATGATCATTATTCCCTAAATAGTACTCCCTCTGTTCTCAAAAACTCTTACTCTTTCATTTTTTTTACTTATAACAAAACACTTCCACTTTTTATTAAAAAACCACTTTTACCCTTACTTTTTCATACCCTACCTATCACACCATACTTTTTTCTCTAATACTCAATCCATCACATCTTACTTTTACCCATCACATCAAGGGCAAAATTGGAAGTCAACTACAATTTAACACTTTCTTATTTTTACACAAAGTCAAAATAGGAACACTTTTATAGAATGGAGGGAGTACTTAATAATGTCTAGTGGGTGGGAATAATATCCAGTGATGATGAACATTTACATAAATAATGACTAATGGATAATGACCAAAGGTCTTACATTGAAAAATAAAAAAACATGGTCATATATTGAGAAAGTCATTATGTCTTAGTTCTATTTGGATAAATTACCCTTTTTATTATGGACAAAATGTTGTGTTAAAAACTCACATGAAATTTGAATTTTCAGAATTTGGGTATAAAGAAATTTCCAAAAAAAACTGCCTCTTCTAAATTTCGCACGACTAGACGTGAAATTTAGAATAGAGACGCAACTGTATCTCTTCTCCTTCTCCACTTCTATAAAAATCCCGCAAAGTTTGGTCGAAAACACAGAGTTTGAAGAATTTATTATTATTCATCGTGTTCTTGATCAATAGTTTGAGTTTTATCTGATTGAATTTTGAGTGATCGAGTAACTAATCAATCTGAAAGTGTTATCACGACTCTCAAACAAATCCATGTAATTTATGATTTCCCCAACAACCCAAAGTCAGGAAAACAACACCCAAATATTGATAGAGTGTTGTACCACTTGTCTCCACCTACAAGTATAATATGACATGTAAATAGGAATAGTATATAAAATATCGAAGAAGATATATATTATCCGCCTTGTGGCTCATCACCAACTTGAGGTTCATGACGATTACAGGGTAGGTCATAAACATTGGGGCGGATAGTCAATACTTGTGCACATGCCCACGACTAGAGAAGGAGTGCACACATTTTAGGTGGTGTATGAAAGTTATGCTTCAAAGATGCCGAACCGCTATAGAGATAGGCAAGCACAGCGGACCCTAGCTATATTGACAGGTAACGATAAAATCATCTAACAACAATACGAAATCCATAGACACGTATCTCCCACCAGCTTCTGGGAATAAGAGACCTCCCAAGTACTCATAATATAACTCATGTAGTATGCTATTCTACTCGTCAGTCGTCAGTCCAATGTAGGTTTGGTTGATTTTTACTGTTTAACAATGCAATCTTAAACTGGTCAGAATGACGAAATGACCATTTTGGACCTCTCATCCCAAGACATTCATAAAAGTCTCATCTTGCTACTCCAAAGGTAGTGGGTCTCCTGTCAATTAGAGGCTCATAAGACACACGACATCCTGTAAAGTGATGCTCATTTTCCCAAATGAGAAATGGAGACATAGACATCTGATTAGAGTCGTGATTAGCCTATTGTCTATTCTAATTGGATGCTCTCGTTGCACCCATAAAAGCCAGCGCTACACGAATTTTATTCAACCTTCAAGTGATTAAACGTATTAGAAATTCGCCAATCATAACGAATATGAGAGGCTTTTGCGTCTAAGAAATTTATCTCTCTCCACACACGATGTGAAGGATGGGTGCTTTGCAATTGTTACATAGCAATGCTTTGGAACTGCAACATCTTTCTCATCATAGTTGTCTATTTCACTAACAAAAAAATGTAAGTATAGATGTTAGTATAATAATAATGTCTATGATAAAATAAAGAAAACAAATATATATAAATAAAAACCTCTAAAATATACTACCTTAAATAACTAAAAAATTAAAAATAAAGGTGCTACAAACACTATAATTATAATTACTAATTGTTATTGAACACATGTAACTTTAACATACCACACAATTTAGATACTACAAATAAACTTAAAAAGTAATTTTCACTAACATATACGTAGGGCCTGTTCTTTAGGGCTTGAACTCTTAACTTCCAGTTTCTTCCAGTTCCTTCCAGTTTCTTCCAGTTCCTTCCAGTTCTTCCAGTTTCTTCCAGTTCTTTCCAGTTTCTTCAAGTTTCTTCCAGTTTCTTCCAACTTTTTTCATTTTCTTCAAATTCTTTCTACTCCTCAACGAATTACTCTAAAAATGATATATTTAAATGTGATTATTATTATTATTATTATTATTATTATTAAAACTGTTATATTCATAACTGTAGTTTATAAATTATTTTTTTCATCTCACTATTTTTACGATTCACACTTATTATTTTTTTTCTTCAACTTTTTAATATGAATAAGACATTTTTTTTGTATATTAGTCTACATGATAAAACAGGAAAGCATCAATATGTTAAATTAAACTAAAAAATTATGGATAAAATAGTTAAATTGAATGTTTTATTAATATAACTTTTTATAAGACATCTCAATTTTTCCGTTATAACTTAAAAATTGCTCATTTTTCTAATTTTTATAAAAAAAATTGTAAGTCAAAAGAGTTTAGAGAAAAAGACTAAAATATGAGTAAAACATAAAAAATGTAAACAAAAAAGTTTTATGTCTTAATTCCAAAAATAGGAATTCAATGAAAATAAAATGTCAATCATGAAAGAAACAATAGGGTTGATTATGTGACATGCATGATATTTAAAACAAAATGTTTTAATATACTACCTCCGTCCCAGTGTATTTGTCCAGTTTGACTTTTTCGAGTCAAACTGGACAAACTTTGAACTCCAATTACTCTCAATTTATATTGCATATTAGTATAATGGAATACAATTTTGAAATTTCTCAATACGATAAATCCAATAAATTCATTTTTACCTTAAAATACATCACGATTTTTATTTAATTAGAGCTTAAAGTTTGTCCAGTTTGACTTGAAAAAGTCAAACTGGACAAATACACTGGGACGGAGGGAGTAAAAATTATAATTACAAATACATTATTTATAATAAATACTGCATAAATAAATTGAGGTGCAATATAACTACACAACCTTTTTAAAATTTAATATTTTTATATTTATGCTAACTTTATATTATAATTATTTTTTGTAAAAGTAGTTTTTTGTATTTAAAAAATAACAATACTTTTTTATATCTTAAAGACATTCACTAAGATAACGTGATGATGATGATGATTATGTTGATGATTATGATGATGATGACGATTATGATAGATGATGATGATGATGATGATAATAATAATAATAATAATAATAATAGTTTATAACAATAAGAATTTAAAATAAATATTTTTAAAGTTTTTTTTAGGTTTTCCAGTTTCTTTCCGTTCCTTTCAGTTTTTTCCAGTTTTTCCAGTTTTTCCTGTTTCTTCCAGTTCCTTTCAGTTTTTTCGAGTTCCTTCCAGTTTTTTCCAGTTTCTTCCAACATCCAGCTCTTTTCTTATAGTCCTAAAGAACAGGCCCGTAATACGTTGGTGAAGTAAATTGTTAAAACTAACTAAGGCCTACAATAACATTAAAATGTACTAATTACAAAATTTCGTATAAATAAATTCCGAATTTTTAAATAAAGTAAGGTAGAAAATTATTTATATTATCAAGTTTCCTTGTTAATTTGATTAAAAATATTTAATTTCAACATTAAAATTATGAAAAATAATGCAATTTATGACAAAAATTAAAAGATGCTAAAGTAATGATAACCATTTAAAATTGGTAACAATTAAGTTTATTTTTATTTACAAACCAAAAAATTTTAAAACTAAATTTAAAATCTTCTTAATTTTTATTTAAAATATAAATTTGTTGTTTTAAGTATATTATATAAAGTATTAACAAAAATATTCAAACATGTTTCTTGAAATAAAAAAAACCTGAAAATTGGAGTTGACCAAATAAATCTTCTACTTTACAATTGTTAAAAAAATTATGGTGAAAAGATGATACAAAATGGTGTTAATTTAAAGGAGTTGAATGAGTTAAGTTTGAAGGAACTGAAAAGAGCTCGGGTGCTTTTGCATTTTGTGAGGACTAATTTTCAACTCATGAATTTACTTCAAAAAGTAGGAATTTGTTGTTGGATTTTTTCCCACACGAAGAAGAAGAACAAAAAAGAAAGGAAAGAGCTGGAGATACATTCATCATTATTTTATGCCTAAGACATGTTGTTGACTTGGAAATGGGCTAAAAAACTTTTAGTGAAAGGAAACTTTAGGTTAGTGTATTTTTAATTTATTATAAGAAGAAATAAAGTTGGTACCGAAATAAAAGTACGCTCAAAGTTGATGTACCGTTTACGAAATTTACCAAGTCAAGTCATCATTTTTTTGTAAAGCTTTTGATGTAGTGTTTAAAAATGTAAATTTTATTTTTTTAATTCTACTACAATTGTCTTATAAATTGAACAAAAAAATAACTTCAATCAAACATCGTAAACCGAGACAAATAATAGAAAAATAGGACAGAAAAAGTATTAGATATTACAAAAATAACTTTATTATATTTATCATGTACAATACTTTGAAATTATTATTTTATCTAATTAATATTTTATATAATTTTTATTTATTTATATATCAAAAATTGATCTTAGTTTACTGTAAAAATTTAAAACTAAAAAAATACTGAAACGGGGTAGGTGTTTGTTTTTAAACGTAATTTTAGAATATCATATACTCCGTAAATATAATGTATATTTATGTGCAATTATAAATAATGATGATCAGAGTTTTGGAGTAAATTAAAGAGCGTGAAAAATAAAAAAGAACAAAACTATGAGTCGAGGAGATTACATTACACCTTTATGTACATTAAACACTTCAATTTTATAGTCATACCTCATTAGCAAATACTTACCTACTATCGCAAATCTATTCTAAAACAGCCCATCAACAACCAAAATCAAATAAAGCCTACAGTGGCAAATGAAAATTTAAAAAAAAAAAAACGAGAACGATGAGATCCCACACAAAGCAAATATATTCTCCATTGTACTACCCATCAAAATGCTATAAAAATATAATTACACAAAAACAAATGTCAAATAATAATACTTTCCATTTCAAAAAAAAAACACGTTCAGTGAAAATGGTTGTTATTTTTTCACATTCTATACTCATCATAGTAAACACGGTGTCACCTTTTGCCGCCGGTCGTAAATACTGCAATGGTTAAAAAAGAACTAACGGCCAACGAAACCGAGCCAGTGGAGAAGGATGGCCAAGAGCAGCATAAGTATTGCCAAGATCATGCCAGGCTTTCCCAAAATCCAGTTCTTAGTCCTCCTTGCACCTTCTACCCCTCTTTGAATTATGTATGCCCATTTCATCTGCATTTTTCAAGAGAAAGATGGAAAAGATAAAGAATAACATTTTGGGTCCATTTGGAAAGACGAAAAATGACTTCTAGAAAATGATTTATAGATAATAGGTTTCACGAAATAAATTTGTTTTCTAGTGTTTTGCTAAAAGTTTGGAAATTGAAAAGTAAACTAGTTTCTATTATTATAACATAATAAAACATTTTTGCAAAAAAAAGTGCTGAGTTTCTGACCTAAGTAGGAGAAAAGTGGAAACTGTCTTCCGTAAAAAAAAAACGGAAAACCTTTTCCTCCAAATAAGACTCATTTTCTTTGACTTCGGAAGTCATTTTCTGTTGTCTCCTTTTTTCCGGAACAGCCAAGCACCGGAAAATGAGAAAATTACTTCCGCAAGTCATTTCCCCCCTTCCCAGACGGGCCCGTTAGGAGTCCGGAAAATATTTGTGAAGAAAAACAGAGGAAAAGTAGAAGGAAAGATAGTGTGGGCAGAAATAAGATATTAAGATAGATTAAAACTCAATGCATTTGTTTTAAGTGTCCTTATTGATCATATATTCCATTTCCCTAGCAATTTTCATGGCCCAAACATGCCAATTAACTCCAGAGAGAATAAAAAAGAGTGCTTGTAAAAGTGAACACATCCTTTTGTGCATATATAATATACTAAAAGAGTTGAATGCAGCAATTGAAGCATGCGTGTTAATATGTCTGGTTGAGCAAGTTAGCAAGAAAGTACCAGTCTGTCCAAGCCTTCTGGTGACAAAGATGAAATAGCCTGCTGTGCTTTTTCTGCATCCTGCTGGGAAAGCTCAAGTCCAAATTGTTTACTCATATTAGCCATCACCTCTGGGCTCATATTTTTTATCATGGAAGAGAACATCTGCAAGATTTTTAAAAAATTGTGCAATGAATGATTTATGGAAAAGATACTGGCCTTGTTTTGTGGAGACTTCTTTTTCACAGAGCTTTAAGCCTTATCAGCCCATTAGTTCATCAAATAGGTAAATTTGGTATTCGGTAAAGAGCATATTAGATTACAACTGAAGTCACAGAGCTAAATTACGAAAAACTTTTTCATAAAAATATGTGAAAGAAAAGACAAATGTACCCTCAATATCTTGTACTTCCACCATCCCACTATTTTGGGACGTAGGGGAGTGGCACACGCATTAAGAAAAGTGGAATTGTATACTCCCTCTGTCCACTTTTCTTGTATACAATTCCCTTCCACTTGTATATATACTCCCTCCATCCACTTTTTTTTCGCCAGAAAAGAAAAATAAAACTATTTCTAAAAAATTACTATAATATAATAAATATTCTTAAGGCAAAATATAGAGATAAATAATTATCAATAATAACATTTGAATAGTGCTCTGTAATAAGATAACACAAGCTTCTTAAATGTCATTGACATAATCAAAGAGCTACTATAGCATATACCTCTAAATGAATCACTAAAACAAAATGGTTGGTCAAAACATATTATTATTACCGGGTAACTCCAAACCGCTAACCACTAAAGCATTCAGCTAATTACCAAATTAGGTTACAGACTTACAGGGCCACTATATGCAAAACATTGTTGCTTGTTGAAAATGTTGAGTAACAATAATTGGAAATAAACAAGCAAAACACCAGCTCAAGGAAGATGGAGTAGAGCAGGGTATATGAGAGAATAAATAATAAGGACATGAAGCAGAATGGAGGTTACTTTTTTTTAAATAAACGATACCAACAGAACCAATATTGCTCAATAAAAATACTAAGCATCTCTGCATGATAAAGTATTTAAGCAACACACCTGCCGCATAGCTGGATCGTTCATTTGGTTTCTCATTTGTTCTTGCAGATCAGTAGTTGAACTTGATAAAGTAGAATTCGGGTCGTTTCTTAAAATTGAATGACCCTCAGGTGTGCTACTAGTAGCTTTGAATTTGTCTAGAACATCTTGAGTTCTTGACTGTTCACTCGAACATGATACTGCTGCAGAGGTTGTTGCAAGATTCTTTTCTTTCATAGATGATGCCATTTGAAACATCGATTGGAGATCTTCGGGAGACATCTTGCTTATAATATCAGTCGCCATTTTCATCATGTCAGGCGTCATATTTGGTGGTACGGAACCAGGAACAAATCTATCACTGTTTGAGTTTGAGTCACTGCTTTTTGTAAATGAGGCATGTCCTTGGAATGAGGAAGCCATTTGAACCATTCTTTGGAGTTCTTCTGGAGACATCTTTTCAATAACTTTGGAGGCAGTCTTCACCATATCTGGTGGTATGCCTTCAGCCTTTGCACCACTCAAGGCAGCCAAGGTCTCTGGATCCGCATGAGAAACAAAGTTTTGGAAGGATCTAATGCCATGGAAGGGTAATCATGTGAGTTGAAGTGCAGGGCCAAACACAAGGATGACAGAAAGAAATACAAACTTTTAGAGTGTATTTGTTTAAAGTGAGAAGTAACACAAATTCACTTTCCATGGAGAGTTGTAATATTATATTTTTGAGAATGAGGGAATCTAATTGCATGGGTGAGAGTTGGATTCCATAGAAAGTTGTATTATTTTCCTTGAAAGTGATTTCTTGAAAATTCTCCAAACTAGCTTTTAGGGTGAAGGGGTGAGAGACAAAACCATAAAGATTTCAAAAAGTGAGATAACAAATTCAAAATGGAAAAACATATTATATGATCCTACTGAATGTCATGTCTTCATCCCTAATTACCAGCATCACCAATAGAAAAGAAAAACAATCAAGATAATGCACTGCTAAAAAAAGAAGTCAATTCTGGATAAACAAAGAAATCCCATATGTTCATATAGACAGGATGGATCAAATTGGCAATTTTCAAATCGCAACCAAATTGTGAATCCTCTAATGGGATAGCTTATTATTTCATAAATAAATGCAAAGTATCTTTTATAGAGAGTAAACCTGACTGATTCAGGGTCATCTTTTAATGCTTGCAAATGGTCAGAACTTTGAGCTTCTCCTTCTGTTCCATGTGATTGGGATAAAACACATTCAGACATTGAACTTTCGAGTTTTTTAGAAGTTACAGTTGGCTCCTCTTCACTTATCTCTTCAATGACCAACTCTGTTTAGTAAATATATTTTATTTTTATCAATGGGTTAAGAAAATAGCATATTAGCTGATTGAGACTATATAAAAAGACTGAATGCTTAAATCAAGGCAACACCCAAGGCATATTGACCAGAATCTTCAATAGTAAATGATACAAATCTTTATATGTGGAAGGCACATACTTTTTAAAGCACGCCCACTGCTGCCTTGTTTCACCAATCTTTCCTTAACATCTCTGCATCATTTTTCATGCTTATTAAACCTTGGGACCAATGATTTGTATGTGGGTTGTGTATTATCAATCATTCGATCATGTAATGCACACAAAGAAAATGACACTTATGATTTTCACCACATTATTCCTTCCTTCTTATGAAGGCGAGGGTTGCCAGTTGCCACAGAAAGGGCGTCCCGAGTAAAACCTTGCCACTATTTTTTTTCATAAAACATTGCCACTATGTTTTTTTCATAAACTGCAATACCTTAGGACATCTTCAATAGTTTCATCATCAGGAGAAACTTCATGTGCCTTGGTTAAGTCAGACACTGCATCCTGATTAAAAATAAAATAATAATAATAATAATAATAATAATAATAACAATAACGATTACAATAACAACAAAGAGCCTTTGATATGTTTAAATATGTCAAAAATGAATGGCACAAAATACAATAATACAAAGAACACCTCAGAAAATACTCACTTCAAGATGTCCGAGTTCTTTATAAGCTTGGCCCCTCCGGTAAAGGGCTTTAACATTATTTGTATCATATTCCAAAACCTGCATAGTTTGTATTGAAGAATGTAAGTCATACAGATGAGATCTACCCACATTAAGAAATACTTCAACTCAAATGGATTTATGAAAATAACCATCCACAAATGGACACATGCATGAAGGGGGGATTTTAAATTTTTAATCAGTCATACCTCGGTACCTTCCCTTATGCACTCATCATAATGTCCGGTCTTTAAGTAACACGACATCAAATTGAGAGAACATGCCATTAAGAGATTCCTGCCTTTTGATGCAGGAATGCCTTTCAAGTTTTTCTTTGCCTGTTAATTGATTGATTGACGGTATGAAAATTTGATCAATCCTCTAGATCAACACATGCAAGCACTGCAAACAAGCGACCGAAATGCTAGTATTCGACTTACAAGCAAATATTTCTGTGAGGCCTCATCAAACTTTCCCTGCTTATGAAGTTCATTCCCCTGGAATTGTAGACATGAATTCAGTAATAGTTGGCAATGCCACCATGTTATTTTCATAGCATACTCAAAGGCACGGTGAAAGCATAATTTGTAGGGAATCAATTTTAAAAATAAACCAATCTTGAAGTCCAAAAATATCTGCACATAGTATAATTCTACAGAAAAATTGAAAAAAATTGTTAGGGGACATGTAGAAGCTATTTCTTGGTGGGTGAGGAAACTTACCTTGTTCTTGAGCATCTGAGAAGCATTGAATTCATAAGTAATCTGTGCATCTAGATGGGAGCGCATAGAAGCTATTTCTTCAGGCGATGCATTGGCCATCTTCTCACCAATATTGGCCATCTCCTCTGGCCGGGTGTGTTTCAACTGTTCAGCAGCATTCTTCAGGTCCTCTGGCCTCAAGTTTTTCATGCTTTCAGAAGCCATTCTAATCAATTCGGGATTTGACATCATCTGCAGTACCAGTAATTTGGTCCAGTCAATTAAGCAAGTTCAGATCGCGTCTAGGCGGATTGCTAGAACTCAAATAATCACTCAAACAAGTAAAACAAACGCATAAATCACTATATCCTTAAAATCAATCAGAAACAGATTAGGGGAATAACCTGCTGCTGAATCCGAGCCAACTCAGCGGGTGACATACGACTCATTTGCTCTTGAGCGATTCTGAACAGCTCCGGATCCATCATCCCGTTCATTATTTCTCAAGAAGATCAAATTTCTATCACAGATTACTAAAATTATGAATTAATGCTGGAACGACAACAAACCAAAAACATGACAAAGCAAGCCAAATGAAAATTGAGAAGTCCTACTTGAGAAAATCCGGCGATTATGGACTTGATTGTGATCGATCTCGTTGGGATGATTGCAGCGATATTGAACAATTAAGTTATAGGAGTAATTGTCTTGATTGTTTCGGACCGCCTACCAGAAAAGAAAGTTGGGAGAATGTGGATTACTCCGTATATTATATGCTTTTCTTCGTCGAAACACACTCATCCTGGCGAAATTGAATGCAGCATGTAACTTTTTTTTTTTTGTTTTTTTTTGTTTTAAAGAGACTGGGAGTGCTTGCTTTTGTACTTTTGTAGTGATTTTTTGTTTGATTGTTCACTTGTAATGAAGTCTATTAACTTCATTTTGTTTTTTATTATGGGGATTACGTTTGCACCTATTTATGAGTATAGTCGGCTATGATTCGAAGGTGGCGTAGATCGCGAGAAGCAGAGATTAATAAAGGTCGCTAAGACCAGCGAACCCCAAATCGGCGATAGTGAATATGATGGCGGAGAAGGTGATGGTGGCGACTATAAATCTGGGAGTGGTTTGATATAAAACTCTACAAATCGGGAGGATGAAGAAGGGTTGCACCTTGATTCTAATTTCAAACTCTTAAAGAAGGTAGAATGAATGGTAAGTTAGTTGTGATTTGTGAATGAATACTTGATTTAAGAATGAGTACCACTTCGTTTCAGAATGAATACTACGTTATTCATAAATGAATTTTATAATTATTTTGAATAAATATGTACACGGGACAACTATGGGTTGATACCAAATTGTGTGGATACCTAGTTTGTTAATGTGGATACCAAATTGTGTGGCAACCTGGTTTGTTAACCCATGGCTTCAGGTCATGTGGGTTGAGTTGTTACATGATGTGTCAATCAAAATGTACATTCAAAACAATGAGTTTTAAATTAAAATAGGGCAACATTAGGAGAATCGTAATTGTGACATAGATGACAAATACAAATATTTACACACTTTCGCATGGACACTTATTATCTTTGTTTATATATAGTGCAAAAAAAATGATATTTTAACTTTTAAGTGGGTTCTTCAAGAGCCTTTCAACCACTCCAAACGATAAGAGCATTTACAATGCTTTCTGAAAAATTCCCCGCGTAGAAACTTGGGATAAGACGCGTGACAGCCTTGCGTTGCAACAGGGGAGCTGGGTCAGAAGCTTGGGTGCATGCCAGGCGCTGGCATGAAGCCGGTCTTGCGGCACGAGCGAGGACGCGCAACGCTATCCGTTGCAGCGTCTGGCCGTGCCGCTGCACTTATTTTTTGTTTTTAATTATAATTTAATTACACAATCCACTTTGATAATTTCAGGGCGAGTTGCTGGACTTCTTAGTCTCTCTTGGATTTCATTCTTCGATACAGTTAAGGATTCAAGAATTTGAGGCAATTGTTCATCTTCCTTCAAGAATTTATTGCCTATTTTCAATTTTTTTATTTATTATAATTTTTTAATTTTATTATTTTTTATCAATTTTATTAATAAATACGAAGTATATATTTTTATTAAATTTATTTAAGTTTTTAATTAAAATTGATAAATAAAGTAAAATAAAAGGAGAGGTATGACAGTCAATATTGCGTTTTCCCGCCCAAAGAGTATGGCCATTACATATGGTAATGTGAAGTTAAAATGGTAAGTGTCCGAAATTATAGTAATATAGAATTTACGTTTTATAAATATAATTAATATATTATATTTATAATAATTAATTTTTATTCTTAAAGTGTCCGAAATCTATACTAGCAATAAAGGTAAGTTATAAACAAATATTTATAAAATAGGAAAAAATTACTTATAAAAAATATTTATAAACTTTAATACACGTCAGTCAATGCTTTTAAAATCGTGTGTATGATTATTCTTACCCTAATGATATAATTACTAGTATCACACCCGTGCGTTGCACGGGTCAGTTTTTTGTTATTAAATTCAAATCATTTTTCAATGATAAAAATGAGATGCAATAAAATATAGAGATTATATTATTTTAAGGTAAAAACATCACTATTTTATAAATTTCGAAAGACTTCTTTATAGACTACATTATTGTAGAATTTGTGGGAATATTTATAGTGTATTTAATTGTAATAAGCTATAGGCTATTATAATTCTAATTATAATAAGAAGGGTTAACTTTTTTCGAAATTGGGTGTATAATTATTCTTACCATAATTATTTTTTCGAAATTGGGTGTATAATTGTATAACTTACCTTTTTAATTATTTACAATTTTCAAAAACTTACTCTTTGCATTTGTATAACTTACCTATATTTAAAACTTACGTTTTGGATTTGTATTACCTTTTTTAATACGATAATTATTATAAATATAATAATATATTAACTTACGATGGCTTACCATTTTATATTACTCACGTTAATTATTATAAAAATAATTATATTAACTTCCGATGGTTAAAAATGATAGTTACTTATTCTTACAAGAATTTCATACGTTTCCAATCAGTAGTCCAAATAACATTGGTTAATTATTAACATATACTCCCTCCGTCCTAAAACTTTCTTCCCAGAGCACTATTCCAACTTCACGGGAATTTATATTTATTTGTATTTTTTCATGGCCTATATGATAAAATAAAATATTCTTGTCACCACTTGTTTTGTTGAACTTTTGATGTAGTTTTTAAATATGTATGTTTTATTTTTTATTTCTATACCAATATTTAAATAAAATAGATTGAAAAAAAACTTGGGATTTTTCTTCGTTTTGCGAACCGGGAAGAAAGTTTTAGGACGGAGGGAGTAATACATTGATTCCAATTTTATTAGAAACTTACCTTCTGCGATTTTATAACTTACCTTTTTTAATTATTTCCAATTTTCAATACGTTAATTATTATATATAATAATTATATTAACGTCACGCTTACCATTTTATATTACTCACGTTAACTATTATAAACATATTAGCTATATTAACTTCACACTTACAATACGTTAAGTAATTATTATAAAAATAATAGCTATTATTATATTTATACCTTTTTCAATAATTATAATTCCACAATTTCGGCCAATTACCATTTTAACATCACAATTATTTACTTACTTTTTGGCCATTTTATAATTATTATAAATATAATAATTATAATAATTACTACTACAATTTCGGTCACTACAATTATTAACTTACCTTTTTTAATTAGTTCTAATTTTCAATACGTTAATTATTATATTAGTTCTAATTTTCAATACGTTAATTATAGCTTCAAAATTTCGGCCACTTACCATTTTAACTTCACAATTATTAACTTACCCTTTCCCCATTTTATAATTATTATAAATATAATATTATAATAATTATTACTACAATTTCGACCACTACAATTATTAACTTACCTTTTTTAATTATTTCCAATTTTCAATACGTTAATTATTATATTTATACCTTTTTTTTTAATAATTAGAACTTCACAATTTCGGCCACTTACCATTTTAACTTCGCAATTATTAACTTACCTTTCGGACATTTTGTAATTATTATAAATATAATAATTATTACAGTAATTTCGGCCACTGCAATTATTAACTTACCTTTCGGCCATTTTAACTTACCTTTCTTTAATTATTATAAATATAATAATTATAATAATTATTAATATAATTTCGTCCACATACCATTTTAACTTCACAATTGCCATTTGTAATTGTCATGCTCTTTGGGCGGGAAAATCATATGTTGACTCCATGCCTTTTTAAATAAAGTATGGATATGATTATCGTGTGACTAGGTTATATAAAAAAACGTGTGTGATTATAGTATGATATAATTATGGTAAGAATAATTATACACACAATTTCAAAAAAATTAATACGGTAAAACCCTTTTAATATATATTTATATTTATGTTTAATAACAAGAAAGGTAATAACCAAAAAATGTAATAATTATTACTCCGTGCAATTATTACCTATATAAATGGTAAGTGTCTGAAATTATAGTGTCCATTTTTAACCTGTGCACGAAGTATAACCATTACATATAGCAATTGTGAAATTAAATAATAAGTGTCTGAAATTATAGTAATATAAAATGGTAATTCTGAAGTTAATATAATTATTATTTTTATAATAATTAACTGTCATTTTTAACGTATTGATTGTACATATGGCAATTGTGAAATTAAATTGTAAGTGTCCGGAATTATAGTAATATAAAATGGTAATTGTGAAGTTAATATAATTGTTATTTTTATAATAATTAACTATTATTTTAATGTATTGATTGTATAACCTTGTGACTAGGTAAGTTATAAATTTGGAACGCGTAAATTTTTCTTCCGTGTATGATCATACCGTGTGTATTATTATAGTATAATATAATTATGGTAAGAATAATTATATACTAAGTTTCGAGAAAAAATCGTTTGAAAAATTAATTTTTCTTGCTATAATTAGCCTATTAGAATTATACTCTGTATACTATAAATACAGTCCTTTTCCCAAGTCCAAGGTAGTAAGATTATTCAACGTGTGTTTTTATTCGGTGCTTCAACATCGCCTTTTGTACGATCATGGGAATCATAACCGCTTTAAAAAATGTTGATGAGAGGTCAGCACTATTGATGATGAAACTAAGAGCAGTAAGAGTTTATCACGGGGGGNTCCAGAGGTTAGTTCTTTATTATTTTATATTTTACATATAAATCTTTAAAAAATTGAATTTAATTATATGTAAATTTTTTCTATTTGTTGTTAGGGTGACTGGATCCATGCTCAGATCAAAGATTCTAATCTACGCACATTCAAAGAAGATTTGCAAGAAAATGCTGTTAAATTAGTGATGAGAGTCAAGGTTATGTGCAATTTCATCAGCACAAAACTACCAATCATCCTTGCATGATGTAGTTTTTTGGCAGGACCAAGCTTCAAAAACTTTCGAAAATGGATTTCCAAATTTTCGATTCAACTTTAAAAGTTTTGAAGATAAACTCAAAACAAAGTTTGCTGACACTGTCCTTTTAGTTGGTAAGAGTCATTTACATTTACATAACTCAAATACTTACACATATGAAATACATTTAATAAATTATGTTTATGAAATTTATAAAATTAAATTTCTGGACTTTCAGATATAATCGGGAAGGTTGTTAGCTGAACTCCGTCCGAAACCCGTATGGTAAATCATGTTCTAGAGCAAATGATGGAAGTTACCTTGGAGGACCACATGTATGTACTTTTAGAAACCGAAAACATTTTATTAAAAAAATATTATTACGGATATCTATTAATTAGGCTTTATTCCATACATTTGATCTGATTGAATCTGATATGAATTTTTGAAGTTCTGATCTGATCTGATTGGGTCTGATGTGAACTGATCTGACCTGATCTTATTCGGTCTGATCCGATCTGATTGAATCTGATCTGATTGGATCTCATCTGATCTGATTGGATCTGATTTTATCAAATTAGATCTTCTGTAAATGAATTTAAATTTGATTTAAATTAAACTTAAAATTATTACAAAATTTAATAGTTTTAAAATATTACAACTCATACATACATAAAAGGTCGGTAAAATAATAAAATCAGCTAATCATTGATATATTTATTTTTTTTTTGAAATATTAAACACCTTTTCAATATCACTAATTTTTGAATTTTTGTGAAAACTAAATAATCGGCATTAAAATAACCAAATATTAGAAACATATATGCTTTTTAAAAAAATACATTCTATATGCATATTACATAATAATATATTTCATGTTATAAATTAAATATCATATAAAATCTTAAACACTAACATTCCTTTCACCTCTATTATTTTTTTTATAAACTCGCCCTTTATATATTATACCATTTTAAAGTTTAAAAGTAATTTTTTTAAGTATAACATATTTATGGTTTTGAGAACTAAGTTTTGTATAATTATTTTATAAACAAGTATTTTAAAACAACTCTTTTTAAGTATGAAAAATACGACTTTTTAAGATTTAACATTACTTCCATGCATCATTCATACAAGCTGAGTAATTATTAAAAATAATGATTTGTGGTTGAAATAATATAATAATAATAATAATAATAATAATAATAATAATAATAATAATAATATAACAACAATAATAATAATAGTAAAAATTATAATATTAATTAAAATTTAGGCATGCGTAGCTTTAAACAAAGTAATGTGATTTAATATTTGATGTGGTCTGATCTGGTTGGATCTGGTCTGATCTGATTGGATCTGATCTGATCTGATTAGATCTGGTCTGATCTGTTTAGATCTGATCTGATTGGATCTGATCTGCTCTGATTAGATGTGATCTGATTAAGTCTGATGTGATCTGATCTGATTTTAATAAGTAATATTTAATGAATTATTTTAGTAAGAAATTCCTAATTTTAGACAATTATTAATTGCATTCGGTATTATAGAAACTAATGATGTTTTGTACCTTAAAATAATATAATCTTTATATTCTATTGCATCTCATATTTTACCATTGAAAAATGATTTGAGTGTGATACTACTATACTAGTGGTAATTAAATGTCATAATTCTAGATTATTTGCAGGTTATGGGCAATGGGGAATTTGATGTAGTGGTGTCTATTGGCTTCTCCCACAACTCAACGTCCTAACAATCTGCTAGAAGATGTGTCATCTGAGCATGTGACCGGACTCAAACAGCACGTCAAGACGCCCTTTCAAACGTCACGTACAACACAAAAGTGGATTCAATATTCGCCCACGAAGTCAGTTTCTGAAAACCCTAAGAACCAGTCTCTTCTTGAGCTGAAATGGTATATTTTCGCCCTAGTTCATATATATTTCAGTGTGTCAACTTCTTAAAGTTTGTCAATCATCTGACAGCATTGTTTATCCTGTTAGATTCCCTGCATTGGGGTTTGCTTATAAATAGTGTACCGGGTTGAGGTCTTACAATGTCCGAGGATATGATGCTCCAGTTTTCCTCGAACTCTTCAAACCAATCCGACAATTCTAAAATGGCCAAGCTGGAAGCACGGATGGTGCGCAAGCTGGTTACTCCTCAACCCATCTCGTGGTCTGTTAGCTCTAAGTTTGGGGATGCAGAGAGCCTGCCAGAGCCTATTGTATCAAGTGACTCCGACGATGATGATGTGAGTTCCTGGATGTTGTGTTTCTTTCCTTGTAATTTGATGCATATGGTGCATAATTGCTCTTCTTTATATGGTTTTTTCTAGGAGCATGCTTTAGCTGTATTTTATTCCATATATAAGAAGGCCATTGGATAAATCTCTTGGCTAAACTTGCTCAAACATTTTGCTCCATAAATGAATTAGTTGTGGAGTGTTTTCTTTTTCTTCCACTTTGATCTTTCTGTAGTTAGGAGTTCTCCATGGGTAAGTAATAAATCAACACGAAAAAACCAGTATTTGAGAAAAAATTATAGCCTTAGGTTGAGGGAATGTTGCTCTAAATCTCTACTTACTGGATTTATTGCAACATCATTATCCTTTATCGAATGCACTGTAAATGGACTCTACACTCTACTACTCATTATCATTTATGACTTTATGTGAGCTTTGAATGGTTCCAAGTTCATATTTTGGCTAACCAAGCTAGCTTCGATAAACGAAATGACAATGTCCAAAGAAGTACAACAAAAAACTGAGTAAAATCCCAGTAGGGTGTGGGGAGGGTATGTGTACATAGATCTTCATGACTGTAGAGAAGTTGTTTCTAAGGGACCCTCGACTCGAGTGCAATAATACGGATAAAGATAATGCATACGAAACACATTAACATGAACTGAGCAAAAGAAAAGGCACAAAAGACACACAGTCCATACTAGCAACAAGACTCATAGCAACAATACATACACACACTACAAATACAACAACAGCCCAGTTGAATCCCACAAAAGTATGGTTTGGGGAGGGTATGTGTACGCAAACCTTACCCTACTCGAAAGTAGAGAGGTTGTTTTCAAAGAGACCCCTGGCTCAAGCATCACAGGTAATCACGTTCGCAGCCTGACCCCTATGTTTAAAACATAGAGCAGGTGTTTGCGGATGACCCATGATGAGCGTTGCAACATTGACTAACTGCTACTTCACTATTAAAAGAAGCGCAAATAGTTTCAAGAGCCATTTTGCTTTATCCTATCAAACCCCAAAGCCAAAAACTAGGGAATCTTTGGCTCCATTGAAGATGATGGAAAACACATATCATCGTAAACTACAAACTAAATCCCAAAGGTCTGCTTAGATACTCTAAATCTCTAATCCTAGATCTCTAAATGTTCCTATATAAGGTCATATCCTCAATAAGATTTTTAAGCCGTAGGTTCTCTGTACAACAACAAGAACCCAATAGGATCCCAAAAAAGTGGGATCCGGGGATGGTGTGCATACGCAGGCTAATCACCTTAATTCCAATTACCCCTACCCGCACCCACAAGCTGCTCACAAGTTGGTTAAAGTGAAGATGTGACACGTATCTGTGCAAGTTGGTCAAAATGAAGGAGAGTGACATGCATGTTTGATTATAATTTATATGATCAGGCTGTTAGACTTTTAAGAATGATTTAATGAAGTTGAGTCTAACTTAGATGTGCATCTTAGGATGGATATGTGATAACACAAAAGGCAGGTTGCAACCTGGTACACACCTGCTTCGCGAGGGGTCTAAGGATCCCACCACAAGGGTGTAATGTAGACAAACCTTCACTGCATTTTCCAAGTGGTTGCTTCTAGGGTTTGAAATGGCGACCTCAAGGTCTTACACCAACACCCTAATATGTGCGCCAATGCTATGTTGGTTTTTTATAAAACTAGAAAAGATAATATCTGCAATAAGGATAGTGCAGTGATTGAATTCTAGAGATCTTTAAAGGATTTGAGGCAACATCGCATCCAAAGGGGAATATGGGCGTCACTTGCTTCTCGTCACGTCATTCATTTCGTATATACTAACATGTAGTTGCACTTGTCAATATTTTTGCATGTATATTATGTATATGTAGAGGTATAGGTGTTCCATTTTGATAATATCAGATGTTAAGGGTAGTGAAAACTATCTTCCTAAAAACTTGGAACATCTAGAGTTTGACTTTCCTAACCAGCATTTTGTCTATTTTTTGTTCTAGTAGAATGTTTATGCATATCATTTTAGTTAACAATAGTCATATTAAAACATTACTTCTTTTTTGTCAAAAGAGAACTTCATTTTTCTAGTCGATTTTAGACGTGATGGATGATTGTGATATGCGCATTACCATTGTAAATAAAAATGCAAATTAACATTTATAATTGATAGGAACAAGACTACGTCTTTCATTCTCACAGATCAAGAAACCCAAATATTTGATTAAAAGTTATCTTAAAAATTTACTAGCTCTTAGAACACATATCATGCAGTTTTGACCTTGTACTTTCAAGACTATATATTATTTGAGATTAACCTGGAATTGAGTTTATGGATTTCTAGACTGTGTTGCATTTTGAGATGGTATTGGAGCACTTGAAAGTAACTATTTTTGTTGAATAATTTTTTTGGACTTTGGGATTCCGGTTTGGTTGTTGTGAATGCAAATGTATATATACACACTTTCATCTTATTTCTTTTTTTGGGGTTCCTAATGCTAGAATGGAGGGGAGTTTCTCATACAAGCAAATACTTTGAAGCGCCACAAGCCTGATAAAGACACCAACTCAATTGCCTACAAAAATGTTGAGGTGCATTCTGGTTTAGTTTTGAATATTTTCTGCATGCTGTTTTTAACTTGCCTTCAAATTCCCATGGCAGTGTTCCATAATTAGCAATTCTTGTTGTAATTGCAACTTGGAAATAACCAACGCCCGCCATAACTAAAGCTGATTTCTAATAATCATTCACTGCTTACCATTTTAAAGTAGGGAATGCACTAACATGGAAAGGATGTTTATTAGGGAGTGGCAGATACGGTGAAAAAGAGTATAGAAATTACAGATGCCTGCAAGGTAGGTTCGGAAGCGATTCGAAAAAGACAAAACCGTAGCAAGGGAAACCCAACCACCGGTAGAGGGCGTGGTCCCCGGAGTGGAGACCAGACAAAAATGTCAACGGTTTCTCCTTCAAACGGTCAACCTGAAAACTCAATGCATGTGGTGAGTTATCCCTGACTTCAAACTTCTTGGATTGATTACATTTTTCAACTAGTCGTGGGATATGTGCAAATGTGACTAAGGTGAGCTAAGATGCTCAATATCCATTGTTATCAGTTTTTTAGACCCCTTTTCAAATTATTGAAACACATAACTGCCACATCATTTTTCATCCCACATGCAAGTTTGTAAGTTTCTGGACTGATTTTTGGTCTATCTAAAGTGTTATCTCTCAGATTGCGCAAGTGCATAACTAATGTACATCTAGAGGCATTGCTGCTCAGTCAAAAGAAGACTCTCAATTCCACCTTTATTCTTTAGTTTTCCATCTAAATGAGGCTTTGGGCTAACAAATAAAAGGATATATTTATCTTATATATATGAGATTATCAAATTAATTAAAAAAACCTTTGATTTTTATTTTCCATTAAATAATATGGTAAGCACAATATTGCAGTTTATGGAGCTGTGTGCAACAACAACCCTAGTATAATTCCAACTCTGTTGGGGTCTGGGGGTCAAGTTGTACTCAACCTTACCCATGTTTCTGTTAGACCCTTAATGCATTTACTGCCGAAAAACTTCATAGAAAGCAAGAAGGGAAGTTTAATGAGCCACTTTGATTTAGTGCATTATTTACCCAAAGCTAAGAAATGTCTCTTTTAGCTCAATGAGTCATGGGCAGAGAATGTGTTGTGACCTGTGTGCAATTCGATAAAAAATATTATGGCATTAAGCCATTAAAATGGTTCCTTAAATGCCCACAAAGAAATAAATATGAAAATGAGGAAAACATGGTGTGGCATATTTAGAGCGTTTTCTCAAGTATTATGCTTGAAACCTTTTTTTAATTTTTTTATATTTTACGTTGATCATGTTGCCATAAAATGGATATGTGAGGCGTAAGATTTAACATAACCTGGAAATAATCTTATCAATTTGTGCTGATGTTTAGGTGTTTGTTAGCATTGCTACTTCCTCCCATGTGCACAATGGATTAGGCATTGACTTCCTTTCTGAATTTACCATAAATATGGCCATGCAATATAATTTTATCTATCCCACGTAGAAAGATAAAAAACTAAGGATTTCATAGCTAATGTATAATTGCATAAATTGGTGCATGCTAATAACCTCACTGCATTACTGTTACATGAGGCATTTCAATTTGCAGGATATTAGGCCCAAAGAACCGCGAGGGATTGATGATCAGGCTCCAGCAGAGGTTTAGTTTATTTGCTTATCCATAATTCCATATAATATGATTCACTGTTTTTGTTGTTTGTGTTGGTGTTATTTTGTTTATTACTCCGTATTACTATTATTGTCTCTATTTGTTTGCTCCGACGTTTAGAAGTTAGAACTGAAAATGCTATGTCACAAAGACCAGAAATGTGGGTGGATGGGGGATAAAAGCTATTTCCCCACTAGAAAACAAATCATTTCTTAACTTTTCCTTTTTTACAACATCTTTAAAATGATCGCGTTTTTTATTAGCCTAAAGCTTACTAGATAATGTTTAGGGAAAGTCAATAGGCGTTTTTCTTCTTCTTCTTCTTCTTCTTCTTCTTCTTCTTTTGGAGGGGGGGGGGACACCTAGTGGAAAAAAGTACAAGGGTCCCAAGCAAACCTACATACACTACTGAATACAAATCATTACAAAAACTAAGAAAAACCTTACTCCTCTAGTTACCAAACAGCAGATTTCCTCTCATAAGGGAAGAACCTCTCCTTTGATCCTGCTTGCCCATAGCGTCTTCATCAGGGTCTTGTCTCGTGCCAGGGTATTATCCAGCACAAGGTTAGCCATCTTGAGGATGACCTCATTCCTAGTTCTATATGACATACAGAGTAGCAGATAGCTCTCATAGTTCTCAGACAAAACTCTCTTTGCTTCCTGGGCACTTTTTAAGATTCTTGAAACCACTGCTCTGTGCTTATTCCACGATGACCCTTGCCACTGGTAGTAGCCATTCTGTAAGGCATTTCTAACCTCGAAAGCAAAAAGGGCCGTCTCAGAACAAGTTCTGGAGATCTTCTGGACCATTTTTACAGACTTACAGGGAACAGAATGCTGATCTAACTCACTAAATCTGGAAACCGTGACTGGAAGCCTGACTTTAACTGGAAGCCTGCCTTTCAGTAGCAACCAGAGTAGAGTTTGATATTTCGGCAGTGCAAGTCTGATCCATACTGCTTTAACCCATCATGGCTTCTGTTTCTCTCCAATCATTTTGAGGTATACAGTTTTGGTGCTGACTGGGTCCCCAAAATTGAGCCTTCTACACATAGCCCTCACCTTACTAAGCTTCTTCCAATACCAGCAAGAATAATTTCAAATTTTCTTACACCCTTGTTCTTCAAATACCTGATGTGGATCCATTGTTGTGGACCGATGTTATCCACAATATCTCTTTCCTAGCTGCCACATCCCATACCAACTTCATGATATCAATGTTTGTCTTCTTCTTAGCATTCAAAAGGAAAAGAAAACTAGAACAATGTAGTAGTGCACATCAATGTGCTACTGTTGGTAAACAATATAAGCGGCTATTACTTATTCTTGTTGGAATCAGATCAGATCATTAACTTTAAATTTATCTAGAATAAGATCAGATGAGACCTTAATAAAATCAGATTAAATCCAATAACATCAGACGAAAAGAATAACTTCTACGTCTAGGACAAGTCTGCCAATTACAATGGTAAGAAGCAAGAAGTCTACCTTGTCAGGACCTGTGACTAGGTCCTATGCCAGGACTCATGATATCTTGGTATCAGAGCATGGTGCCATGTGTGACAGAGTTTTTCAGACCAATTGAAGACTTTCATGGAACATATGACTACGAGACAAGTTTTGGAAGCGCAGATAATGGAATTGTTTAATTTTGCTCAAGGATCTGGAGAGTGATTTGCCCAGAACAATACATTGGAACAAGGCAACCATAGGCAAGAGTGTGACAATTGACAACAGTTCAGTCTTAAGTTTGAGGCATCATTCAGGAGGTTCAATGGTGCCATGATATTCCAATATGGAATTCCCTCCATATGATGGTACAAATGATATGCTAGTGTGGATGAAAAGGCGTGTAATTTTTGTGCTAGTAAAAGATTGTGGATGAAGAGAAGATAACACTGGCTGATTTCATATACTTGGTGAGGCCTAGCTTTGGTTTGATCAATTGGAGTAAAAGGAGAGTGAATTGGGTTGGGAGCATTTCAAGGCACATTGTCATATGAGATTTGGACCACCATTGAGAAATAACCCACTTGCGAAATCACTAGCCGTAGGCAAAATTCACTTGAGGGTTATTAATGAAAGTTTTATACATTATTGGCTAGAAACAAACATGAAACATGAAAGTTTTATTAGATCTTAAGCTCAAACATGAAACAACTTGGAGTGTTGGACTCATTATGTTAAGTTTGATGGAGGAGTGATGCGTGGTTGTTAAGTTGACAAGTCGAGCCGAGTCGGTGAAGAGGAGACTAGTGGACTAGTCGGCCTACTAGCCGTAGACTAGTCGACAAATCACAATTAATATTGAAAATTTTAGCATTATATATATCTTCATTGACCCAAGATAACTATATATATTTATATGACAAAATCTCATTACCAAAACAAAATTGTAACACCCCAACCCGCATAACTCAGATACATGGGCCAGCAAATTGGGTTTCTACTAAATTGGTATCTAAACAACTTAATTCCAAACAACTTTTAGAACATTTAATCCATAAATTCCACCTACCGTCTGACGCAGAAACCTATTTCCGCACCAGCCAAATTCCAGCAACATTCCAATGCCAATTTCATACAACTCAATACCAATATGTTCCTAATTCAGTTCCCAAATACTAACCATACCATGATTATAACCATAACAATTCATGTGTTCTAACCCACAAACTATCAATAATCCAATCAAACTATCACACGTAGGGTTTCACATAAATCAACCGTAATGATTTTATGAACGTAAGATTCAAACCTATAGATATAACCTAGTGTTAGATGACCACGTACTTGCCTCAAATTTGACGAAGAAACTAAGAAGAATGAATCTAACGAGCGGCGGTGATGTCACGACTTCTCTTCTTATTCCTTCTTCCTTCTCTTCTTGCTTCTCCTGGGGGGGTGCCGATCGGAACAGAGAGAGAGAGAGTCGAGAGAGAGAGAGAGAGGAAGTTATTTAAATATGGGCGACTAGGAGGATTTACATGCTTCTGGGTAGTATTTATAGTTATGGGGTTTTGTACTCCATAATTAAATAACGTACCTCGATTAAAATATCCTTTTCGGGCCAACTTGTTCCGAACTTTGATCCATTTACACCGTTGGATTTGTCTCGTCGAACCCTACACAACGGTATAACTTTTATATTTTATTAATGAATATTTAAATTAAACTCTGGGTTCGTCTCAATATTCTTAAATAATTAATTCTGATAGGCCGGGTTTTTGGGGCATTACATTCCTCTCCCTCTTAAAATAATTTCTTCCTCAAAATTACCTGAGTCATTGGTTTGTGAAGAGATGAGGATACTGAGCTCGCATGGATTCATTGGTTTCCCATGTTGCTTCTTCCACCGCGTGGTTTCGTCAAAGCACCTTGACCAAGGGGACGGATTTGTTCCTCAGTTCCTTTACTTCGTGTGCTAAGATCTGAACGGGCTCTTCTTCACAAGTGAGATTCTCATTGAGGGTGATTCCCTCAGGTAGGATATGCGACGGGTTTGAACGATACCTTCTCAGCATAGACACATGGAACACATCCTGGATCTTGCTCAATTCTGGAGGTAGCTCTAGTCGATAGGCTACTAGTCCTACTCGCTCGATAACTCGATAGGGTCCGATGAACCTATGGCTTAGCTTGCCCTTGTCAAATCTCAAAACCTTCTTCCAAGGAGAGACCTTCAGGAACACAAGGCTGTCAACGTTATACTCAACCTCTCGATGCTTGAGGTCGGTGTAGGACTTTTGGCGATCTGAAGCAATCTGCAACATGTCACAAATCAACCTAACTTTCTCTAAGGCAGGTTGATTCTTCAGAATTGGTGTTCTTCCTTCTCTCAGAGGCTTTAATCAAATGTGAAAGATGATTAAAATTCGGAGCTAGGGGTATATTTATAGGGGAAGGGTTGAAAAATCCCAAACAAGGGTCAGAGTCCCACACACAACCTCACTCACGGCTGTTTGGGACTTCGTAAAATTTTTTCTGTGCCACACATAGCCTCAGACATGGTTGTGTGGAGGAGACTTGTGCACAATCCTGCGTCTTTAACTTCAATATTATCCACAAGGCTTGTAAGTGTGTACATGCCGTGACCTTCAGCTATGCTAACCACTCTCAATTCTTCACACTTGGCCTTCCCACAAGGCTTGTGTAGGACCGTGTGTCCAATTAAACTTTTCAATTATTTTTCTATTACATATGTATTTAGTCATTCTTTGGCGCATGGTTTAAGTCACTTTTATATCAGAAATTTCAATTGAACTTTGCAAGAATGAAATCAGGATATTAATTCTTTACGAGCTATGGTAACAACTTTGGAGGAAGAACTAAAGAAATCTCGTCAAGATGCAGCTGATTATCAAAACACATGTAAAGAACTTGAGAAGGTATAGTAATTTTTTTCCATGTTGATCATTTCCCCATATTTGTTTATAAATTATGTGTTTCACACTTGATTACATGTGCAGGAGCTGAAGGCACTTAAAGATATTGAGGGGCAGATGAAGCCAAAGGTGATCTACCTCTGTTTCATTTGTCCAAGTTTCATTTATTAACTTGTGTGTGATGGTTGAAAAACATTCTGCCATTTTGAAGCAAGTCTTCAGATTGATGAAATTCCCTTAACTTTGACTGTCTATTACATTTCATTTCCTGGATATCTGTGAAAAGTTTAATGCACAAACTGTACGTAAGTGATCAGAACTTGTGTAACAGGAATAAGTTAAAGTGGGTCACTGTTGTTAGATTTTGAAGGATTATGGCGCGGGTCTGCATACATGCAACTTAACATCAATTGCATCAATTATCTAATTTGTTGTAGTTGAAAGGCTATTTAGTTATGTCTCAGCAGGCTATTTTCTTTCATTGAAAATGTTGTATACAATAATATGCAAAAATTTATGATAAGGTTCTTTAAATAACTATTTATTGATTACTAAATCTAATAACTTATTTCTAACTCTGATGTAGAGAATGCAAATAATAACAGACCTGTTGATATCTGTTTCAAAAGCGGAGAGGAAAGAAGCCCGTATGAAAGTGAGTGAAGATTCAGTGAGATTTGGTAAAGTGGGAGTGATGAGGTAACGAGTTTTCTCAGGTTTGCAATGTTTGGTCCAGTTACCATTCTCCTATTTTGGCTGTGTTTAACTTCACCAAAGTTGCAAAGTTTTTCATAAATATTTACATACACCCTCCACAGGCCCTATGCTTGTGGGATCCAACTGGGCTGTTGTTGTGTTGTCTTATGAGATTCCCAACCTCCACTTTCTCTCCCATTAAGAGGGTTTCTTAAAACACTCTGTGTTACTTTGTGACTTAATCAAGTGTTATTTTTTGGTGACTTGCCTTTGCATTGGTAATAATGTAATATTAATATATTATTGAGTAAAGTGAATGCCACTTGACATAGAGAACAAGGGAAAAGATGGCTGTTTATTAAAATATTGAAAGAGGAGTATTATATTTTCATTTCTTGTCTGTTAGATTGGCTTCTACTTCATATTTTTAGTTATAGCATCAATCAATTTAATTTATCGTTTAGAGCTTTTAATCTTGATCTAATATACCCAACAAGTATGGTATATTGGTAGGGAAATTTACCTAAATAGTACTAAAAGATATTGACTTTCCCAATGTAGTACCATATGTTTTTATTTCCCAATGTAGTACCAGTGCTCAATTTCCAGTGGTCATTGTTTAAGTAAATGTTTACCGCCACTAGACATTGTTCAAACTAAATGTCCAACATCACTGGGACTATTCTCGCCACTAGACATTATTCAAGTACTATTTAGAGAATAAAAAAGTTTAATGTTAGGGGTGAAACGGGGGTCTTATTAAGTTGATAATTTAGTGGCGGATTTGCGGAGGAAAATGGAAGGGAAATAGTGGGCAAAAGTATGGATGGTGTTTAGGAGTTCTTTTTGGTATTTTATGGAAGAAAAGAATAGGGTTAAGAAGGAGAAATGGAGGGATATGAAATGGAAGAAAAATCAGGGATGGATAAAACCAAGTTGGTGTTAAGAGATATTACACACTCTTATCCTAACTTGGGGTTTGAATCTAGAATTTAATTAAGATATGACACACTTAATCAAATATCTAGAACCTAAAACTCACACTTAAGATAACCACTCTTAAGATATAGATTTAGGAATTTAAATAGCAAACACAACAAGTGTATTACTAAATGGAAAATGGAATTACAATGTGAGTCTCACAAAAAGGCCTAAGGCCGAAATAAATACACACACATAGGGGGGAAACTTCCCTGAAACATCCACTCACAAATCACAAGAATAATATCCATTTGTTTATGTTTTCTTAATGGAATGAAATCAGGGATTTGGTCTTTGATTTTCATGGCTGGTGGCTTGTCCTTTAGTGAGGAAAATCACAAGGAAATAAGTGATGATTCTTGGGAAATAATGGGGGACAAAGGGGTTGGTTTTATTGGCCTTATATTGGGTCATTCATGGAAGGTATG